GTTAGACAAACCATAGAATGACCTCTGCTACTCCGTAGAACCTGACACCGCACGTGGTGCAGAAGATACTGGTGGCACCACCGAACTGGACTGAGTTCGTGACTTCAGACCGCCTTGCACATCAACTGAAGCACTCCGTTGGGCAGACGCGTGGACCGCGCAATCAGGATGCACCTCGTCTTCTGGATCGTCCAGAGGATCATGACCTGCCTCGTCGAGACGTGAACATCTGGCTTCGACACATGCCGCAACTGGCCTCCCTGGGCCACCCTTCACACCTCCTGACCCAGCAACCGCCACCTCTTGCTGCACCACAGGCACCTCAGGGACGCCTGTGAGAGGGGCTGAAACCAGGAGTCCAGGTCTGCAGGGGGCTGCGAGCCGCCACGGCCATAAACCTTGATGAGCTCCTGGGGGGCGCCGGCACGCTCCGACGCATTGAGGCCAGCGGCCACCCACACGGGCGCTTCGGGCCCTTGAGCCCCCCTCCCCATGGCGAGACACCGATGTTGTGCGCGCATCTGGCTTCGACGCCTGCCGTGGCTGGCCTCCCTGCGCCACCCTTCTCACCTCCCAGTTCAGCAACAGCCACCTCTTGCTGCACCTCAGGCGCCTCAAGGGCACCTGAGAGAGGGGCTGAAAGCGAGGGGTCCAGGTCTGCAGGGGGCTGCGAGCCGCCGCGGCCATTATACTTCTTGAGCTCCTGGGGGGTGACAGCACGCTCCGACGCATCAAGGCCAGTGGCCACCAGCGTGGGCGCTTCGGGTCTCTTACCCCCTCATGGCGAGAAACCGAAGCTGTGCTCACGATCGTCGCATACGCAAAAGACCATCCTGGCCGCGAGCCCGAGCACCCAGATGATCAGCCAGCGACTTGTCCCTCTGCATTTGCGCCAACAGTGACTTGTTACTTTCCTTGAGGATATTTTTCTTTGGCTTCTCCGAGGCCTGCTTCGCCGCCGCCGAGACCGCCGCAGGCGACGCAGAAGACGCAGCAACACCATTACCCTCATGATCCTTACGTTTTGTAGAATAACGTGTTGCTTGGTCGGCTGCATCGCTGCGAATAGCATCAGCTCTGTCCACAGCATCTCCAGACAACTCCTGAGCACCCCGCTTGAACAAGTCAGCCAGCTCTCCTTGTCTCTTTGCGAACTCCTTCTCCTCCTCAGCATTGAGTTTGTATTCGTCTTAGTTGCCGAGAAAGGTAGACAAGTCGAACACATCAGACATACCAATAGAGCCATCGACCAATGCTCGCAACTCGACCTTCGGCTGCTGAACTGCGCGGGGCTCGGCGTCACGTACTTCAGCCGGCGTTGACTAAGAGAGTTCAGACTCCGTCTGCAGCGCAGCACGTAGATCCGACACGAGTTTGGCCTCATCCTCCAAACTGACAGTCCACTTCGGATACTTCGTACACTCGGCTTCAAGCCTCTTTTCGAGCTTTTGAACGCGGGTCTCCACCTGCTGCCACCTCTGAGAGTAAGGCACGGCAGGCTCGACCCTAGGGGACCCGGCCACCACGAAGGCCTTGTAGCGGCGCTCCTCCTCCACGTCTCCGCACTCGGAGCAGAGACGCGCCAATTCGGCCTTCTCGGCAGGGATGGCTGGCACTGGCCCAGGGCGCGGGGGGGCGGCTGGCTGCCCCCCCCCCTGCGTGCGGGGGGTCCGGGCGCGTGGTTGCCTCCACAAGCTTGGGCCACTCAGAAGCGGCTCGCGCACCGCCCCGTTCAGAGGCCAAGTCATCGGGCGAGGCACCGTTGTCCCTATGAGGCTTTGAGAGAGGCCACCCGCAGCGCTTGCAAAACAGGGCCCCTTTTGAGTTACGCCTGCACCCGCACTGAGGATCTCGACACTTAACAGCCCCTCCAGGGCCCACAGAGTACCATTGAGAGCTGTCCCAATCGCCATGAGCACCTTTGGACGATTTCGTGCCGAACTTGACTCACGGATTGTAGACCCAATCGTGGTTCTTCCCCATGCAGGCCCACGAAAGATTGAGAGCGGATAGAACAGACAGAACCAAACTGACTCGATACTGCACTGTGCAGTTCTGAAGTAAGCAGTATCAAGCACCAATCCTTGTACCAGAACGGCTAGGAGGAGGAGGAGAAGGAGGAGGAGGGGAAATGGGGAGCGTGGAGAAAAGACAGGGTGGATGAAGATGGGTGAGGGAGGAGTGAAAGGTGGGACCAGGTTGGAGGGTGGATAATAGAGTTGGAATGGTGAGGCGGAGAGACTATGATGAAGCAACGAACGGGGAAGGGGAAGAGTTGAGGAGGACGACGGAGAAGGGAGAGGATACTGAGGCAGGAGAGGGAAGGAGATGACGGAGACGGGAGAAGGAGAAGGAGGGAAGATAAGAGGGGTAGGGGGATGATGATGATGATGATGATGATGATGATGATGATGATGATGATGACGACGATGATGATGATGATGATGATGATGATGATGATGATGATGATGATGATGATGATGATGATGATGATGCCGATGATGATGATGACGATGATGCTGATGATGATGATGACGATTAGGAGTGTAATAACGGTGATATTGTGCAGAAGGAGTATGAGCAGGATGAGGAGGGGCATGATGCTGATGCTGGTCATGGCGATGGTCGTCATGATGCTGATGATGAAGATTTGGCAACGACGATGACGATGCCAGCGACGATGACGATGATGATGATGGTGATGATGATGGTGCGTATGATACTGATGACGGAGATGATGGGGATGATGGGGGCGAGAGCATTGGATGAGGAGCAAAAAGAGCAACCAGAGGAGGAGGAGGAGGAAGAGGAGAAGTCGGAGCAGAACGTGTTGGCGAGGAGACGACCACGAGGATGAGAAAGCGTGGTGAGGTTTAGTACGCATGCAGGGACAAGGACGGACAACGGAGCTGACATTAATTTGAGGACCAGTTGCGGAGACAGAGGATTACAAGGGGGAGGGGCGAGGGTAGACCACGTGGATGGTAATGATGATGACAATGCCGATGGTGCTGATGATGACGATGATGCTGCTGATGATGATGCTGATCATCATGATGATGCTGATGCTGATGATGATGACGATGATGATGGTGATACTGTTGCTGATGATGACGATGACGATAACGATGCTGATGCTGATTATGCTGCTGATGCTGCTGATGATGATGCGGCTGCTGCTGTTGTTGCTGCTGATGATGATGATGACGATGATGATGATGATGATGATGATGATGATGATGATGATGATGATGATGATGATGATGATGATGATGATGATGATGATGATGATGATGCGGCTGCTGCTGCTGCTGCTGCTGCTGATGATGATGATGATGATGATGATGATGATGCTGATACGGAGGAGGAGGAGGAGGAGAAGGAGGAGGAGGAGGTGACGGAGGAGGTGACGGTGGAGGTGGAGGAGGAGGCGGATGTCTATGATTAGGAGGACGATGACGATGGGAGGCATGAGGAGGAGCGGAGGGCATGAGGAGTAGGTGTGCTTAGGACGGAGGAGGGCACAGGGAGAACGGATAGTGATTCTTAATGGAAGACGTAGTAGGATTGAGGATAGTGGTCGGAGGATTAAGGAGGAGGAAGGAGGAGGAAGTAGAAGGGAAGAGGAGGGAAGAGGGGATGGACGAGCGAGGGATGCAGAGCGAAGAAGCATGAGGAGGGAGGGAGGAGGGTGTGAGGAGTGATGATTCAGGAGGATCGAGCAAATGGCCTTAATAAGGAGAGAGAGATAGAGAGAGAACAAAAAGAGAGAGAGACAGAGACAGAGACAGAGACAGAGACCGACGGAGACACAGAGACGGAGAGACAAAGAGACAGAAAGAGAGAACAAGAGAGAGAGAGAGAGACAGAGGCAGAGACACGGAGGCAGAGACAGAGAGACATAGACAGAAGCAGCGACATAGAGAGCGGCAGACAGAGACAGAGGCAGGCAGAGACCAGCGGCAGAAAGGGACAGAGACAGAGGCAGCGGCACATATCAAAAACAACTGAGTCGGGCTGGGGGAAAGAGAGAGAGAGAGAGATACATAGAGTCTCTATGTATCTCTGCGGGGGGGGGTACGAATTTTCGCATCCAAGAGAGAGAGAGAGAGAGAGAGAGAGAAGCGAGAGGTTGTTGCAGGCGGCAGGGTGGACGAGAGAGAGGTGGAAGCTTGGTCGGCGGAGGGCAGGGGAGACCCCGGGGGAGGGAGATGCGGCAGGCAGGACTGGGGGGGGGGCCACCGGAGGAGCGAGGATGGCGGGGGGGGGGGGGGAGGAGGAGGAGGAGGAGGCGGAGGAGGAGGCGGAGGAGGAGGAGGAGGAGGAGGAGGAGGAGGAGGAGTAGGAGACGGACGAGGACGAGGAGGAGGAGGAGGAGGAGGAGGAGGAGGAGGAGGAGGAGGAGGCCGCCGCCGCCGAGGGCGCGGAGCGATTCGCGCTTCGCGGTTCGGCCCCGACGCCTCGGCTTCCTCTTCCTTCTCCGGCGGGGGGACCAGCGCGAGGCGCGGAGCTGCTCTGGCGCCTCGCGCAAGGCGCGGAAGCGCGGCGTTGGGCGCCCCTGGAGAAGGAGGTGGACGGGGATCGGGTTCAGTCGGGTCTTTCCCTCTACGTGAGCTGGGGACGATGTTTGGACCATGTTTCTCTACGTGAGCTGGGGACGATGTTTAGACCATGTTTGATTATTTTGGGGGGCATGTTTGGTGCATTAACACAAAACCGTCCCAAGTCCGCCTGCAGGGGGACACGCCCGACCCGAGATGAGAGGCGAGACAGAGAGATGAGCACCATGGGGAGGACGAGGGAAAGAGGACGAGGAGGAGGCCGGGAGGCGGCGAGGAGCGCGGACGAGGAGGAGGCGGGAGGCAGGCTCTGAGCGCCACTGCCGAGGGCCCTGCGACGGCGGAGGGCGAGCGAGGAGCAGCAAGCGGGCCGAGGGCGGGCCGGCAGCCCCGGCCCCGCGGGCTCCCTCCGCGCGCTGAAGGGGCGCCCGGCGCCCGCAGGCCCTCGCCCACCCGCAGATGTGCAAGCAGGATCGGAGGCGGAAAGGGCACCCTGGGATGCACCTCCTGGGAGGTCCAATTCTCTCCTCCTCCTCCTCCTCCTCCTCCTCCACTCGATCCTGGTTCTCCTCCTCCTCCTCTCCTCCTCCTCCTCCTCCTCCTCCTCTCCTCCCTCCTCTCTCCTCCTCCTCCTCTCTCCTCCTCCTCCTCTCGATCCTCCTCCTCCTCTCCTCCTCCATCCTCCTCCTCCTCCTCCTCCTCCTCCTCCTCTCTCCCTCCTCCCTCCTCCTCCTCCTCTCTCCTCCTCCCTCTCGATCCTCCTCCTCCTCCTCCTCCTCCTCCTCCTCCTCTCGATCCTCCTCCTGTCTACAACACAAGCTCCCACCTCCAGGGCACCATCCGAGGACTCGAGGGTCCGGACGAGGGTCCGCGGCCCCGGATGGGCGAGTGAGGGTTCATCGGAGAGGTTGCCTTGGAGATGTAAAGCTCCGCGGCACGGCGTGCGCTGCTGGCTGCCACGAGGCGGGCCAGGGCTGCGGGCCAGCTCGCAGTTCTCTGTCGTCCTCCTCGGCTGCCCCAGCCCCTCGGATTCGTCCTCGAGGCCCAGCTGCAGCAGCAGCTTCGCGGCCTCCCTCTCCAAGCCGCCGCGTGGCGGCGGCCCCGGCAGGGAGGTGACTTGCTGCTCTCTCTTCTCCTTGGAGCCCTTGGCGACGATGGTCATCTGAATGGCCTCGAGAGTGAGCTAACAGTCCCCCCATTCGTTCGCCTGTTGCTGGACTCCCAGCCCGATCTGACACTTGAATGTGTCTGGTTTCGTCGCCTCCTTGTTGCCGAATCAGCAAGCCTTGATGCGGAAGTGGCGGCAGTGCACCGCCAGGATGTTGAGCGCCGACGGCGCTGGGATTAATTTCTTCCAATAGTCCTGAAACACCTCTTTTGCTGCTGTCGGTGTGGCCTCCGCGCCCTCGGTGCATGCCCACTTGATGAAAGCTTTGAACACGTGAGGCCACGGAGGTCCGTGCTCGTGCTCTGTCCCGTCTGCTTTGTACTTCTCGGCGTAATTGCGTGCGGCCCGCGTCCCGACGTATTTTCACGAAGGCCACCCTGGCGCCGACCATGCAAGCCGCGTCGCAAGTGCCAGTCACCTCGGCCAGCTCGCGCGCGTTGGTGAGAGCGAGCTCCGTCAGCACCACCAGCCACGCTGCCAGCGCGCCGCCTCTGCCGCCCTTCTGCTGCTACCAGTCGGGCCTGCTTGACAGACTTCGAGTCGCTGGTGCTCGCCCCTGCTCCCTGGCGCTTCCCAGCGGCCCAGCTGGGCCCGTCGAGCCCCATCACGCAGCGCAAGTGGAAGGTCTCCGAAGTGAAGCCGCGGATGGATGTGAAGATCCAAGAGCTCGGTTGGAGCTTGGGCCTCGCAAAGGCCTCAGTCGAAGGGCCCCTCCGACTCCCCTCTATCTCCAGAGACGTGCTGATCTCATATACTTACAGAAGCTCGAAGCGAACGAGTCCACCACGCGGTTGCAGATCCGAGGTGCGACCCTGGAACCTGCTGCAGCACGCGAGGCACGAAGTCCCCCCAGTAGCTTCAGCGAGGAGCGTCATACAGCCATGAGCCGCGCGAACGTGAACAAGCCCTTGTCGTTTAGCCGGAGACCATGTGTTGCAGTCGTCGATCCCACTGTTTACCAGCCTGGAACACATCCATATCCCTATGCTGGGCATCTCCTCATCACGATGCCAAGCTTAGGGATTCCCTTATTTCTTTGAGGGCGCATCCCTAAGATTGTCATCGCCTTTTGGCGTGTCAATCTTAGGGATAGGGATAAGTTCGAGGCTGGTAAACAGTTGAAGCCCTCAGCGTGCCCAGCAGGTGCCTCTGGTGGTTTCACGGGGGGCCCGAGGTCCAGGATGATGGAGTGCAGACCGCGAGCCACGCGGCCCTGACAGCCGAGAGGTCCAACTCCTTGATCGGAAATTGGAACGTATACATTACCAGTGGCGGGCTGTTTCTTGAATCCCAGGGCTGTTGAGGGTCGGGGACGACGCTGGGGTGGTGTGGTGTATACTTTGTTGTCCCCGATGTCCCGGGAAAACGACGAAACATGTATGCACCAGGATCCCGTATACACCAGAATCCGCGTTCCTGTGCGAATTTCAGCGCAGGGTCGGGAAACGCGTCGGTGTATAGAGTTCGTGTCCCTACTTGAACCAGCCCCCCAAGTCCCCCTCCTCGAGCATCACCAGAAGATGGGCAGCACCCGCTTGGTGCTCAAGCTGGGCAGGGAACGGAGCCACGTCGTGAGGGCGTCGCACGTGCGGCGGTGGACGTCGGCACTGCCCTTCAGTGGCGGCGGCGGGTAGTAGACGGAGCAGACCCCAATATCGTAAGCCGCGCATCGAGCACGTAATGCGAGTCCGCGTCCCGCGAGCGAGGCTGTGGGCGTCCAAGTGTGGGTCACGGAAGACTTCCTGATTCTGATCCCAAGGACGATATTGCAGCCTGTGCTTTTGTTCGTGTACGGTCTTCGGACCCACCCGCTCTCAAGACACCAATTGTTATCTCCAGCCTTGCGCCAGCGTGCTTCTCATGCCTCCTCTCTGCCGAACCCCTTGGCTGCAGTGCCGTTCAAGCAAACGAAATCGCACGCCCTGCAGGCCTGTGCAATCGAAGTGGGTCGCTCTCCGCTGGAAGCGTGCAGCGGGTCGTACCGGAGCACGCGCAGGCGTCGCCCAGCCATCAAGCAGACGAGCAGGAGCCAGCAGCCCATACATAAACATCTATAGGCCATCATAATGATAGTGCTAAGTCGGGCCTGCCTCTCTACAGGGGGGATATTCAAACATATTCAAAACATGGTCGGGGGACTATATGTTTTGGGCATCTTTTGAGCATCTTTGGAGTATGTTTCATTACTCGTTGAGAATCCCCCTGTAGGGGGACACGCCCGACTTTAATGATAGTCAGATTCCGGAGGGAAAGAAACACACAGACACAAGTAATCGTCGATTCCCCAGAACATATGGGAAACTATGGGAAGTGGGGGGGGAGACAAAACAAACCCAAAATATGGGAACAAATATGGGGAATCATATCTTTACTTGTGTGTGCGTATTTATGTGTGTGTCCTGGGGCCCCTTCAAAGATGTGGATGGGGATGTCTTGGAGCGGAGGCGTGTGTGATATGTGGGCAGCTGGGCGCCCCTCGCCCTCGGCACCGGCGCGGGTGCTTCCGGCCCAGATGCCTCGAGGAGGAGGAGGAGGAGGAGGAGGAGGAGGAGGAGGAGGAGAGGGAGGGGGAGGAGGAGAGAGAGGAGGAGGAGGGGGAGGGGGAGGAGAAGGAGGAGGAGGGGGAGGAGGAGGAGGAGGAGGAGGGGGAGGATCGAGAGGAGGAGGAGGAGGAGGAGGAGGAGGAGGAGGAGGAGGAGGAGGAGGGAGAGGAGGAGGGGGAGGAGGAGGAAGAGGAGGAGGAGGAGGAGGAGGAGGAGGAGGAGGAGGAGGAAGAGGATGAGGGTGAGGACGATGCCGACGATGAGGATGGTGATGGTGACGATGCTGAGGCCGTGGATGTTGATGAGAATGCTGACAGTAACGATGATGGTGACGATCACCATCAAGACGATAATGATGATGCTTTCGACTCCTTCTCCTCAAATCGGCGGTCGCCTCCGTAGCTGCCAGAGAGACCCGAACTGGCCCGAGAGAGCCCCAAGAGTGGCCCCAGTGCATCAGCACGGTCCCGAGAGATGCCAAGAGCTTCCCAAAACGACCCAAGCGATTTCGAAGAGCCCAGCCTGACGGTTTCCGAAGGCGTCAAGCGGATCAAAAGCGCTCTTGAGGTCCCCCAAGGCAGCACCAAGAGGCCCCCAAGAAGCCTCCAAGACGCCCCCAAGATGCTTCCAAGAGTCCAACAGGACGTCTTAACCGTCCAACAACTCATGGGAAACGACAGGATTTGAAGAACCTACCTGTTCGCTCTCGATGGGCCAGCCTCTCAGGCCTCCAGATGCCTTTCAGACGGCCCAAGGGGCTCCCGAAACGTCAGAAGAGGTCCCCGAGGGGACCTTCAGACAAATTCCAGGAGCCCGCCTCCCACCGACTCCCCCACATCCTCCGGCTCCCGCTCCCATTCTCATTTTCCTCCCTGTCCTCCTTCCGCCGCCCCTAGAGGCCCCTAGACGGCCCAGAGGAACCCAAGACGGCCCCAGAGGACCACGCGGGCCCCCGCGAGGATCGTGCACGTCCTGCATCCCCTCGTGCTCACAGGCGCTCTTGCCGATCCCAGTTGCTCCCAGCGCCCCCAAGCGCTCCCAGGCGCTTCCACCCAAAACCACCCAAGAAGTCATCAGGATGGCTGGGAAATCGGGAACTGAATGGGTAGCAAGCTGTGTGTTGCAGTCAGTGCCCATGCAAGCGATACACGCCGGTCGTTAAAAATATGTCTTGTTGGGCTCCCAGATCCCAATCTACTTCTAGCGCAGTCCTATCTCAAGAGCGGGCATGATTCTGTTATCCTCTGGGAGGGCCCGAACCCAATCTACTTTATCCCCCTTCCGACTTCATGCTTCTACCTTCTTCTCCCGACCGACGTGCGGTGCAGCCTATGTTGCGCAAGCTGTGTGGTTCAATCGGCGTGTGCGTGCGGAAGCGGCAGCCAGCGCACGAGGCGCCCACGGGTGAGCCCCAGCCAGAAGCCCAGACGCGCCCGCCCGCGCGCGGGGCGCCCGCGATCGGTGCCCGCTGTCGGGCGGCACCGGCCGAAGGGCCCGGCAGCGCCGGTCAGAGCACGGGGCGCCCACTGGCTGGAGCTGGGCGGAAGCCCAGAAGCGCAGGCCACTCAGGCGGGGGCACAGGGGGGGGGGAGATACGTAGACCCCTGGCCTTCCAGGAGGGCCAAAAAATAGCACCCGGCCAGAAAACCAATCCCAAAGAGTTTCTACGTCTTGGTTTTCAGGCGTAGCGTTCCGTCTTTTAGGTTTTTAGGCCTCCCGTGCTAAAAAATAGCTCTCTGGAAGGTCAGGGGCATAGGGGGGATGCATCGACCCCCAGTCGCCCCTTGATCGCCGATAGGCGCCCGATCGCCCCACCCCGCCCAGGAAGGTCGGGGTTCACGATCGGGGGCCTATCGCCGATGTCTCGGCGATGCATCGCCGATTCCAGGCCTGTGCGTCCCCCCTAATGCCAGTCCACCCTATCGTTGCCCCTCACGAGCGCCCAGAAGCGCAGCCTTCTCAGTTAGGAATGAAACAAGAACGCTTCAGTGCAAGCACTGTGTCGGGAAAGAGTGCCTCGTCTTCCCCCGCCATCGCGAAGGGGCTACATTTCCAGAGTCCTGGTGGCCGATCGCTCCGCTGGCCCAAGCAGGGCACCAAGGCATGCGACGTCCTCATGCCTTCCATGCGCGGCTTTCAGGAGCCCCGACCCCTTCCCCAGGGTCGGTGCTCCATCCCGAGTCCTTTTTCGACGGCCCCGAAGCCCGGCGAGGCCCCTGGAGGCCGAGAACGGCCAGATGTGATCTTTCCCATTGAACAGCCAGCCCGCACCTTCCCAAGGGCACCCTTGCACCCTTGCCCCTTCGGCCAACCCTGCTGGCGGCCTTCGCTGGCCTGCCTCGTTCCGGAAACGTCCACTCGGCCCTCCAAGATCATGGCAGCCTTCCTGCGCGTCCTTACGATACGGGTCGACTGTGCGAGCACCCGGCGGGGCGGGCGCGCGCGCGCCCAGCAGCCCCGCCCCCTGCCCCGGCGCTGGTGCTCCATCCCGAGTCCTTTTTCGGCGGCCCCGAGCCCGGCCCCCTTGGGAGGCCCAAGAAAACAGCACCGCTCGGACGTGTGCATTTGTTCCTTCGGCGAGGACAGTCGAGGAGCATCCTTGATCATTTGGCGAAAAAACCACGCACGAAACCGAAAAAAACACAGGGAATGGACGTCCGAGCGATGGCGAGAAAAACAGCCAAAGGCCTCCCGCCGCGATGTTTCCCAACAAGCCCCTGTGGTGTTGGGTCTTCGTGTTGAAGAGACCGCGCCCCGCGTTCGCACTCCTCCTCCCGCTCCCCCTCTCCCGCCATTTCGGCACAGCCCTCGCACGGTTTGTGGCCCCATGGGGAGCTCCACCGAAGTCCCCAGTGGCAAAGTTCGCATGCGGTTCCACTTCCATCTTGGCACACCCCTCACACGCTTCGTGGCCCCATAGGGAGCTCCTCCGAAGACGGTGCTCACAACTGCGGCCCCCACAACTGCATATGGTCTTGGCATCGAGGACCATCCTGGACCATCGAGCAAAAACAAGACACGCACGAGACCGAACAAATGCACGGGAAAGGGACGCCCGAGCGACGGCAAGCGGTTGGGTCCATCGCCAGGCTAACGTTTTTTCTTTCTGCGGGCGTCCGGCGGGGCCGGCGCGCCCCTGGCCTTCCACGAGGGCTAACAAAAACATAGCACCCGACTTGAAACGCCTATCTGAAAGCTATTCTGCGTCTTGGCTTTCGGCTGTTGCGCTCAGCTCTGTAGGTTTTTAGGCCTCCAGTGCTGAAGATCACCACCCACCAAACCACCCCAACCCAACCCGAAGGCTCAGATTTACCCTCGATTTCTAGTGGGGGGGGTCCGGGAACACCGAAAAAACACATATGGAGCCCATACCCCCCCCAACCCGAAATTCGGGTCTTCGGGTTGGGTTGGGGTGGTTTGGTAGGTAGTCAGAAGAATGGCTCTCTGGAAGGTCAGGGGCGCGCGCGCGCGCGGCGAGGACGACGGCACCCCGGGCGGCTCGCCGACGCCGAGGGCGGCCCGCAGCCGCGGGGAGGCCAGCCCGGGCAGCGCGTCGCCCAGGGCGGCCCCGGCGGTCTGCCGCGGAGGGGCCCTGCTGGGCGTCGGGCGTCGTCGTCGTCGTCGTCGTCGTCGTCGTCGACGTCGACGTCGTCGTCGACGTCGTCGACGTCGTCGTTGTCGACGTCGTCGTCGTCGGAAGGGGCCCTGACGGGCGTCGGGCTCCATCCTGTGCTCTGCAAACGACGAACCCAGGGATCCTGGCGATTCAATTGCTTCGAGCCGGGTGTTTTCCCCAAGTTTCGGGCCCGGGGGCCCGCACAGATGGATCCGGGGCGTCATCAGACGGGGCGGTAGCCAGGGGGCCTCTTCGAGCGGGAACGGGGTGCCAGGGCATTCAATGTACCTCGCACTGGTGCGTGGTGGATGGGGGCGACAGAAACGTCGATACATCATCGTAGCTCTGGGCGGGGGGGGTTACCTCGCACTGGTGCGCGGCAAATCATTTTGTTTGACAGCACCATTGAAAACGCACCCTCAGCGACCGGCCCGCGAACTAACGCCCCGTTTGCAAGGGCTCGGTAAGCGACGAACGCAGGGATCCTGGCGGCTCAACTGCTTCGAGCCGGACGTTTTCGTCCAGTTTCGGGACCGGGGCCCTCACAGAGGGATTTGGCTCGCCAAGTGGCGCAGGAAGGTGGGGTCCGTGGCTCCAGTCGTGATTTTTCACGATGCCTCAGTTTGTTCGAGATATCGGATCTCAGGGAACGAGCAGCGCACGCCCATACCTATATGAGGGTCGGAGGGAGGAGGACTGGCTATGGGTACGAGTGCGGGGTCGGACCCGGGGTGGAGATCCCGTTCGAACGGGGACCCCCAGTCAACAAATACGCACCCATAGCCCCCCTCCGCCCCCCCTGTGGGTATGGGTGCGCGTTGTTCCTCCGCCACATGGGCCTCCCAGATAGGGCCAGGGTGACTGCCTACGAGCGGCGGACACGTGCGCATCCGCGCCCTCGCGGCCTGGATTCTGGGGCGTGACATTGCGGATAAGCGGTGAGGCGAATCTCGCATTCGCAGGCTAGAGTGTAACATGCGAGTCGTGCTCGCATTCCGGAGTGCGAATCGTGCTCGCGCTGTAGACTGCGAATCGTTTTCGCACGACCCGGTCTTCAGTACCGGCGCGTGCCCGCGTGCGGTGCTCTGCGCTTGCCGTGCGCCCACGGTGTCGCGCAGTGCGCGGTGCGCGTGCCGTGCCTCCAGGCCGCGCCGTGTGCGCTGCCGCGGCGTACCGCCGTGCGTCGGGATGCGAAAACCCCACCCCCCCCCAGTCCCGACGCCCATCCCCGAGCCGGCGATTCAAGAGGTCGGGACTGGGGGTGGGGGTGAGTTTTCTCCATTCCTGGACCCCGAAAACCCACGCCCACCTCCAGTCCCGACCCCTTGAATCGCGGGTTCGGGGATGGGGTCGGGACTGGGGGTGGGGGTGGGTTTTCGCCTTCTCAGTGCGGTGTCTTGCCGCTCCGAGGCGGGAAGTTATGCACGACCACCGCCTGGAGGGTCAGGTTTTCGGAGCCTCGGCAGGCGGTGGGCACGGACAGGTTCGGGCCCCCGGGGGCCGAAGCGTATGGGTATGCACCGCCCGCTGGCGCACCAGGACGTCGGTTCCCAGGCGGTGGATGTGGACCTAAGCTGCAGGAGGGGAAAAAACACGCAGACACGAGCAGTCGTCGATTCCCCAGAAAATGTGGGAACATATGGGAAGTGGTGGGGGGAAGACAAAAGCCCAGAAAACATGAGACAATATGCGGAATCCTGGTATTTGTGTCTATTTATCAGTGTGTGTGTGTGTGTGTGTGTTTGTGTGTGTTCGTGCGTGCGTGCGTGCGTGCGTGCGTGCGTGCGTGCGTGCGTGCGTGCGTGCGTGCGTGCGTGCGTGTGTGTGTGTGTTTGTGTGTTTGTGTGTGTGTGCGTGTGCCCGCCCCGCCGCCGTGCCGTGCCGCGGCGAGCCCGCACGCGCCGTGCCGTGCGGCGCGCCCGCGGAGCGGGGCTCTTGTTGCTTGCGTCGCGCCCGGCGGTCGGACGCGCGGAGGCCGGCCGAGGGCGGGGGCCCTCGGGGAGCAGCAGGAGGAACAAGAGCACACAGACACAATGAATCGTCGGTCCCCGAGAAAAGATGGGAAGATATGGGAAGTGGGGGGGAAGACAAAAGCCCAGAAAAAATATATGCAGATTTTGGGGGATCTTTTTACTTGTGTGTATTTGTTTGTGTGTCCCAGGGCCCCTTCAGAGCAGCAGGCCCCTGACCTTCCGGGAGGGCTAACAAAATAGCACCCGACGTAAAAACCTATCCCGAAGCTATTCTGCGTCTTGGTTTTGGGCTGTTTCGCCCAGTTTTCAGGTTTTTAGGCCTCCAGTGCTAGAAAATAGCTCTCTGGAAGGTCAGGGGCGGTGCCACACGGTGGGGGCGTTGGTGAAGGAACGCGCCCAGGAGGCTGCAGACCCTGGAGGATTCCTCATCTGGTGAGGGCGGCGGTGATTTCCACGGCCACGCTTGGATTGGAGTTCCACCGGCCTCCAGACCCTGGACTCATTCTCAAAGGGTTCCTAATCCAATGCCCCCACCGTGCTGGATTGTAGATCCTGGGACATCACGCGGATCCAGAAGAACGGCAGCTCACACTTGCCAACCGGCCGCGGGAACACCTCTCAGGAGCACTTAGGGTCACTAGGGTCGCCGAATCCTGGAAGAACATCTCGAGGACGGCCTTCTTGGCAATCTGGCCGTTTCGTGAATGCATGGCTATACAAGCCGATACCGCAGGTGCCCCTGACTGCGACGACGCGAGGGTCACACAGAGCGCAGCCAGCCAAGATTTGGCTCCTCGGACAAAGCACGCGCGGTTCGGCGTACGGGCGAGCTCGACCCCGTAGGACAGGCACAGGAGCCCAGCAAGTTTTCAGCGTGGACCCTGCAGCCCAAAGCGACGAACACGACAACGCTCTCGTACTTCACTGGTGGCCGAGTGCGAGAGCCTTCCTGCGCTGGACAAGCCCAACCTTGCTGTTGCCGTCCGCGATGGTCTACCGGGGGGCCTCTCGGGCCAGAGAAGCCGCTGCTCTTTCAACCCAGAAAGGGCTGCGCCGAAGCTGCCCTGCGCCCCGTCCGCCGTTTCTTTGTGGAGCGGGGCCTCGGTGACGCCCTCGAGGGGCGAGACATGCACCAAGTTTAGTGGAGCAGGCACAAGGCGGGAGTAAAACATCCGCCCGCCTCAACAGTAACAGCCGGCCCCGCAGAACAGAGACACGACCCCGGCAGACTTGAGGTAAGCGGTGGCCGCGTACAGTGGAGACCCATGCCAAAAAACACCCTGCTCGACTCGAGGGTGCCCCCGGTTTCTTGGGCATCGATGGCTTCTGCTGTGGGGAGCGTGGCGGTCCCGCGCCAGAAGTCGAGGGACGTCCTGGGGTCTCAGGGTGGGGGCCTCTTGCTGAAGGTTTCTTGCGGTCGGGCCCCCTAACTGTAGCCGAGCGAGCGGTGCTTTGTGCAGGCCGGAGCCGCGGCGCCGCGCGAGGCCCCTCCGGGCCACGCACGGGCCGCCGCGCACACGGGGCGGAGGCGGAGCGGAGCGCAGCAGCCAGCGGGCAGCAGAGGGTGCGCCCCCCAGGCGCACGGGGAGCCTCGAGCCAGCGCGGCCAGAGCCCGAGCGGCTACAGTGGCCGTTTTGAAAGGCATGCTCCGCGTGCGGATCGTGTCTTCAAAATGCAGGGATGGAGTACTAGAAAAAACAGCGATGCCTTCATGCATAAAGTCATTCATAAATGAATCATGTATTTAATAAAATCCCATATTTCTAAGAATCCCATGTATTCAAAACTGCCCTGTACGGACCCTGAGATCCCGGCGTGGCTTCGCCAGGATCTGCCGCTCCGGCCTGCTCTGCGCGGAAAAACTTCCACGTCTGAGCGCCTTCTCCTCCTCCTCCTCCCCCCGCGCGGCCGCCCCCGGCTGGTTCCCTCCCTCTTGCACGCCGGAGAAGTCGCCTTTCGGCTGCCCCGGATAGCCACACGCTGGAGCGGACTGCCTCTGCCTCGCCGCCGACGGAAAAAGTTGTTGTCAGGATCTCAGGGCGTGCGTTGTCGCGCGGTGTCGGGTGCCGGCGACCCTCACATATTCGATCCGATTGCTCGTGATTTTCCACTGTGTTGCATTGTTGTCGCTACGTCGGAGCTCAAGGGAGGCAGAGTGGGCAGAGCGGGGGGAATGAAGCTGAGCATGAGGAGGGCGAGGAGGATGCGCCAGAAGCTGTTTCCTATAGCCAGGCCCATTCGGCGCAATCCGGGGTTTTCACGAGTGTGAGACGGTCAAGCAAATATATACACACCATGTTTCGGGCGAAGGCCGCCACACACAGCGCCTGCACTCAATGGTTCTTGCCCTTACTCTAGGGAACTGGGCCTGTCTGCCGCTCTGGCGGCTATGCTGCCGCCGTCGCCGTCCCGTCGCCGCTTTGTCGCCGCTCTTCGTCTGGGCCTGTTTGACGCTCTGGCGGCTATGTTGCCGCCGTCGCCACCCCGTCGTCGCCTCGTCGCCGCCCGTCGTCTGGGACTGACTGCCAGTTTGGCGATGAAGTTGCCGCCGTCGCCGCCCCGTCGCCGCTTCGTCGCCGCCCGTCGTCTGGGCCTGGCCGCCGGTCTGGCTGCGATGTTGCCGCCGTCGCCGCCCCGTCGCCGCCTCGTCGCCGCATAGATAGCGCACCACGTCAACTGCACCACAAGTTTTGATTGCACCACATGGATCGCACCACATCTTTTTGCATATCATAGATTGCACAACAGATGTTGCACCACATAGGTTGCACCACATAGAGTGCACAACACGTTGCATGATATAGGTTGCACCACATACAATTGCACTACATAGGTTGCACCGCAGATATTTCACAACATAGTTTGCACGACATAGATTGCACCATATATATAATATTGTACAATATCGGTTGCACAATACATATATATACATTGCACAAGCATGTGTTGCACCGCGTAGATAGCGCACCACATTGAGTGCACAACACAGGTTGCAACACATTTATATATATATATATATATTGCACAACCTAGGTTGCACCGCAATATTACAACATAGAAGGCACCACACATATCGCACCACCTAGACTGCACCACATAGGTTGCACCACATATGTTGCACCACGTCGATTTCATAACGTATATTGCGCACCGCATAGTTTGCACCAGTTCGGTTGCCCAACATAGCAGATAGCGCACTATTTCAACTAGACACACAACGTTTGGGGGCCCACACTGTATGTACCACCGCTTATGTCTGTGTATAATGTTTGTGAACATGTGCGTACGGCTCCCATAGAAGGCTACTTTAGGACCTGTAGGGCCACTGCCCTGCGACTCTCGGTCGGCCCTCTTTAATGCCACCCTGTTAACGTCCTCCCGAATTGGGCGGCGATCAGGGGCGTGTGCGGCAGTTCGGGTCTCTGCCCGTTCGCGTCGTCGAGCGGGCGCATGTTTGCACGCACTGTTTGCAGATAGTTATGCCGAACATTCCGACCTATGCGCGCAAATTGCAGCATGAATCTGGCGGCGCGCTCGGCATTGACGATCGAGTCTCAGATGGCTCTTCCGTCTTGTGGGGTGATCACGCCGTGCTCTGCCTTCCTGTCGAAAGCAAGGCCCGAGCATGAGTCCAGAAGGGCGGGGTTGCGGTTTTGTTCACGTCCGTGTTGGTTTTGTTCACGTCCGTGTTTGATGCTGAGCGCGCGGAGGAGGAGGAGGAGGCGGAGGAGGAGGAGGAGGAGGAGGAGCCGGAGGAGGGAGGGGGAGGAGGGGGAGGTTTGGCTAAATTTGGAGTTCTGGAGGGCGGATGAGTTCTGGCTGGATTTGCCACGCGTGCGCACTGCAGCCGAGGCGCGTGCCATCAGCACCCTCCTCATCCTTCCGGACGTTGGCCAGGCTCTAAGCATCGATGCTTGCAGAGTTCGCTCGCCCTCCACCTCCTCCTCCTCTTCCCCCTCCACCTCCTCCTCCTCTTCCCCCTCCTCCTCCTCCTCCTCCCCCTCCTCCTCTTCCTGCTCCTCCTCCTCCTCCTCCTCCTCCTCCTCCTCCTCCTCCTCCTCCTCCTCCTCCTCCTCCTCCCCTCCTCTTCCTCCTCCGCCTCCTCCTCCCCCTCACCCTCCCGGCCCGCAGGTCGCAGCAGAAGGGGCGGCGCGGCCCTGGACCCCTGGCCGCGGCATGCAGGCGAGCAGCGTGCGCGTTCGGGGCCGCCGCCAGCAGACGGGCCTTAGTGCGGCCGTCGGCGTGGAGCACGCGTGCGCGCGTGGCTCCCGCACCCGTGAGGGGGGAGGGAGAGGGAGGAGGAGGAGGAGGAGGAGGAGGAGGAGGAGGAGGAGGAGGAGGAGGAGGAGGATTAGCACGTGGTCGGAGAGCGCAGCAGGTCAGCTCCGCTCAGGCCCGTTGTCCTGCTGTGAGGACCGGGCTGTTACACGGCGAGTGCTGAAATCGCCGTGTCTTCCATTCTCTCTCTCGGCTGCGGTGCATGGACTGCAGCAGGGGAGCACCTCACCTCTTTGTGAGGCCCTCGACCTGCCTCTTATTATACTTCACAAGCTTCGCACAACGGATCGGGAAGCATCACTCCCGCAGACACCAAATTCAAAGCAATGCTGACGCAGCCTACCTTCTGCTGGCCACTGCAGTGATGCACCACACCGTGTGCACCTCGATAAGGAGAGCGGGGAAGACTAATCCCGCGGACCTCGCCACTTTGGGGAAATTCGATTGACGCTTTTAGGCACCCTTGCCTTCCTATGCACCCGAACGCAGCAACACGGGTCATCCACAAGGCTAGAGCAAGTCTTCATTGAGCATTGTCGGTAAACGTGTTTAGGACAATCGCCTTCAGAGCCTGTTCTTTCTGTCCAGATCCCGAAGCAAGTATGCGGCGCCACGTGGGACAGCGCAGTTCGCGCTATCCTCAATGCCGTGCCTCCCTCAGCGCGAGGGAAGACCACCGAAGCCACTCTCTGGGAGCAGAGGTGTGCGTCGTCACATGTGACAGCGCAGCCCGCGCTACCATCCATGCCGTTCCTCCCGCCAGACGCTGGAAGACCACCGAAGCCACTCCGTCAGGGTTCTCTTCGTGCAGCTCAATGGGGGCGCAAATGAACTCGAATACTCCTGCACCCGCTCCCTCAAGCTGCGATCCCCTGAGAACTCTGACTTGCCATCCCTCTGGTAGCAGCTGATGTTGGCGCCGCGCTCGATTATCCCGTGCACCCCATCGTTGTCCTTCTGCACCGTGGGTGGGGCGACGGCGACAGACGCGTGTGTGTAACATGTGTTGGTCGTCGTCCTTGCTGCTCATGCGCACCGTGTCGATGATGGGATTCGCGTCGTTGAACCCAACTCCAAGCTGCATACTCCAAATCCCGTATTAATCGACCCCCCCCTAAAAAACCAGACCCCCCTCCAAATGCGACCTAATATTCCGGACCCCCTCTTCGATGGGGCGCCTTAATAAACCAGACCCCCTCAGCTCCAATCCAAAGAAAGCGACCTAATAAACCGGACCCCCTTAATGACCAAAAAGGCGCCTTAAAAAACCGGACCCGGGGGACGATTAATAAGGGATTTGGAATAGTCGGGATGGTGCCGATGATGTTGAGCCCTCGATAGTGGGAGTGGAGTTGGTCGTGGCGAGGGAAACTTGCTATAGAAATATGGCTGCGCCTCGAGCTTGTGTAGGGCTGTGATCTCGAACCAGATCTTGTTCAGGGCACCAGGCTCCTTTATGTTGAGCCCGCGCATGGCGATTCCCGTGCTGGAGTAGGCAGTACTGATGGCCGTCATGTTATGGCCGGCTTCTCGGTCCCATTGCCAGGGGGCCAGAATGTTGGGATGCCGATGGGCCTTGGCAGGGTAAGGGGATTTTGAACCAGAATGTTTACGGGAGGAGGAGGAGGAGGAGGAGGAGGAGGAGGAGGAGGAGGAGGAGGAGGAGGAGGAGGAGGGGAGGGAGGATCTTTCGTCAGGCGGCATTGATCAATTGACATCTACTGTGCCGTAGGGAGGAGGGGCCGCTCCTGCTGTCACGCGCGCCCACAGACGCCTGCCCTGGCAGCGGTCGCACATCCTTCCAGATTCGCACTGCGCTCAGCGTGCCTTTGCTCCGTCTGTCGGTTCAGCCCGCAGAGCGGTGGTCACCGCTCTCACGCGATGGAGCCAGTGGTTCGAAGTCCGGATATTGGCGCCACCCGCCTCCGAAGTCGGGTCTCACGCGGTGGCGGAGCTGTCATGCGCTTTGTCAGGCGCGTCGTGGCGCCACGATCGGCCGTGAGGGAGGAGGAGGGGGACCAGAGTAAACCAAGGTGCATCAACGATGCAGCAATACGCCCTCCAGCCCCAAGCCCCTTCCTGGGCAGTCTTCCTTCTCCTCCTCCTCCTCCTCCTCCTGCTGCTCCTCCTCCTCCTCCTCCTCCTCCCCCTCCACGCGCAATCGTCGTATCGTTCAGTTGAATCAGGTGTCCAGCGAGATCCCCGTTCTGATATAGGACCGCCCCATCGGTGAAACATCCATGCGCGAGTTTTGAGTTCCCACACTCCTGGTTATGGAGGCCGAAGTGGTCCGAAGCGCATGCCCCATTTTGAAAAGGAGCCGCCCTACATCCAGGAAGGGATGAAGGAACAACAGCCGCATGAGCAGGAGGAGGAGGATGAGTAGGGCGCCTCGGTGGGGAGGACCAGGAGGGGGGGGGGGGGAAGGATGAGTGCAATGCAAATGCAATGGAAGAGGTGTTTCTTGACCCATCTCTTGCATTTGCACTGGATGCGTGAGAGGAGTGCTGATGGCCAAGGAGGAGGCAAGCTGCGGCGAGGCAGCCACTCACATACGTTGGATTCGGGCGGGGTGCTTCGGACTTGCAGAGCAAGGCGTGGATATTCCAGAGGCAGCATGGCATCCACACTGTCCATCCTGCACCACCACACTAGGGACTCCTCGCCTCCTCCGCCGCTGAGCGCATCCCTCCTGTAATTTCCCGGTCGAGGCGAGAGGGTGCCTCGAAGCAGCGCTGGGTCAGGATGTCGTGTGAGGATGCCGATTGTCCACCACCACTACCATAGGTAGGAGAGGGAGGAGGAGAGAGAGAGGATGATGAGGATGATGAGGAGGTGGAGGAGGAGAGGAGAAGGACCTCCCCATCCTCCCCTGTCCCCCGTCCTATATGGTAGTGGTGGTGTAACATTTGCCCATCATCGAGTGAGGCGGCTTGCTCCCTGTCTCGCTCGCCTCCCTGAGAAGGCCGGCCGACGACGTGCAGATGTGCAGACCTTCCCGGGCGGGAGGCCGCGTCCGTTCCGTCCGTTCCAGAGCGCTCCGGAGCGCTCTGAGAGCGTTCCGGAACGGGTCGCAGGCCTGGAGGTTGACACCAACACCAATATCGGCGGAGTGCCTCCACCGAGGGAAGAAGATCCCGATCTCGGTGATGTTGGTAATTTTCGGGCTTCCTAGGTGGCCGAAAGATTATCACCAACACCGAAATCTAGGATCGTCTTCCCCAGGAGGAGGCACCCCCCTGTGTTGGTGCTGGTGCCCACTCCCAAGCCTCCAACTCCAGTACTGGCACGCTCAGAGAAGGCCGCGGCGCCCGACACTGTGAAGGCCTGACGGCCTGTGCCGCCGACCCTGACAGACATCGACGACGACCATGAGGGGGAGGAGGAGGAGGAGGAGGAGGAGGAGGAGGAGGAGGAGGAGGAGGAGGAGGAGGAGGAGGAGGAAGGGAGGAGGGAGGAGGGGGAGGAGGTGGAGGAGGAGGCGGCGGAGGAGGAGGAGGAGGAGGAGGAGGAGGAGGAGATAAGGAGGCGGAGGAGGAGAGGAGGAGGAGGAGGAGGAGGAGGAGGAGAGGAGGGGGAGGAGGAGGAGGAGAAGGAGGAGGAGGAGGAGGAGGAGGAGGAGGAGGAGGAGGTGGAGGAGGAGGCGGTGGAGAAAAGGAGGCGGCGGAGGAGGAGGAGGAGGAGGAGGAGGAGGAGATAAGGAGGCGGAGGAGGAGGAGGCGGAGGAGGATGAGGCGGAGGAGGAGGAGGAGGAGGAAGAGGAGGAGGAGGAGGAGGAGGAGGCGAGGAGGAGGGGGAGGCGGGGGAGGAGGAGGAGGAGGAGGAGGAGGAGGAGGAGGAGAGGAGGAGGAGGAGGAGGAGGAGAGGAGGAGGAGGAGGAGGAGGAGGAGGGGGAGGAGGAGGAGGGGGGAGGAGGGAGGAGAGGCACGAGCAGAGAAGGCCGCGGCGCCCGATGCTTCGGGTGTGGCGAGGAGTGCCCCTGGCGCCCAGGGTGCCCGCCGGGGTTCCAGGGAGGCCGCCCAGGGCCTCCAGGGCACCCCTCGCGAGGTTCAGAGGGCCCCAGGGGCTCCAAGCTTGAGTCGGGGGTGGACAGACCTCGTACCCTGGCACGTCGATTAAGGAATTGGCTGTTTTCGGTTCGCGAGAGGGCGTCGCGGCCGTCAGTTCTGCGAGGCCCAGAGGGCCCCGGGGGCCCCCCGTCCCTGTCAACAAAAACTATGCAGGGGATCGCTCGGTGCCCGCGCACGGTCCAGATCTTGCCGCAGCGTGCACTCTGCACTATTCGTTTGACGGGGATGGTGGGGGGCTGTTGCGATGATTCCAGGGTAGCCCCTGGTCAAGTGGGGGAGGGGGTGTATGCCAATAGTGAGCAGTGATAAAATCTTTCTTCGGACACTCGGGGGTGGACAGACCTCGTATCCTGGTACGTCGATTAAGGAGTTGGCCGTTTCGGTTCGCGAGAGGGCGTCGCGGCCTTCATCTCTGCGGGTCCAAGTCCGTCGGTTTCGGTCCCAGGCCGTTTTCACTAAAGGGAGGTTGACTAAGGGGAGGTTTGTCCACCGCCGATTGAGGTAAGTCGGGCGTATCCCTCTACAGGAGGAATATTCAAAAATAGTAGAACAATAAATCGTATGGAGACGATGTTCTGGTATTTTGGCTTATGTTTAAAACATTTGGGGGTTCTTTTTTATTTTTCATCCAAAATCCCCCTATAGGGGGACACGCCCGACTTAAACCTTGAGTGAAAAGCTGGGAGTACCTTGGGCCAGGGGCACCTTTGGCACCCCCCCAGATACATCCACCAGAGCCGCCAGATCTCAGAGAGCCTCGATTGTGAAGGCCTCGCGGCTGGTGCCGCCGACCCTGACGATGACGCGCACGACGCGTGCGAGGAGGAGGAGGAGGAGGAGGAGGAGGAGGAGGAGGAGGAGGGGGAGGAGGAGGAGGGGGAGGAGGAGCAGGATGCGGAGGAGGCGGAGGACGCGGTGGAGCAGCATGAGGGGGAGGAGGAGGATGCGGAGGAGGACGGGGAGGGAAGCAGGGGCAGGGGGGGGGGACGGGGGGATGAAGGAGCAGCAGGAGGAACAGGAGAGTGATAGTCGGAGGAGCAGGAGAAGGAGAAGGAGGACGCGGATGATCCTCGATTTTTATCCTTCTCTAGACTTCTCCTCGTCCTGGCTTCGTGGTGCCTCCGCCGCCGCGTGCTCCCCCGCTGTGCTGGGCCCCTCGCGACAGCGGGACCGTGCGCCGTCGGACCCGTGTGCGAGCGCCTGTTTTGCCTCCCCCTGGCAGTCGTGCGCGGCCGGCGCCGGTCGAGTACGGCGGCGGGTCGTCGGCCCCCCGTCAGGCCCCGTCGCTTCTGTCTCTCGCCCCCGCCCCTTCCCATCCCATCCCATCCCGCCCCCCCTTCGCCCTCTCGCTCCCTGCATTCCCGCTCCCCGTCTCTCCCTGCCCCCCCCCCCCCTGCCTGCATCACTCAGGAGGGGAAAAAACACACAGACACAATTAATCGTCGATTCCCAGGAAAATATGGGAAAATATGGGAAGTGGGGGGGAAGACAAAAACCCAGAAAATATGGGAAAATATGGGGGATAGTTTTATTTGTGTGTATTTATTTGTGTGTCCCAGTTCCCCTTCAATCACTTCCCCCCGTGCTCCCCCTTCATCCCCCCGCCCCCCCCCCACCCCCCCCCTGGGCCCCCCATCCCTCCCCCCCCCGGCCCGCCCCTGGGCCGCATCACCACCACAGCCGTCGAATCGACAGGTGCTGAGCCCGCCGCGCCCACGCACCCTCCGTCCTCGTCTTCCCCTCCTCCCTCCCCTCCTCTCCCCCTCCTCCTCCTCCTCCTCATCCTCTCCTGCTGCTCCGCCTCCTCCTCCTGCTCATCCTCCTCCCTCTCCGCCTCCTCGTCCCGTGCCCCCCCCCCTCGAAGGGAGGAAAGACCTCCCCGACCCCCCGTGGTGAGTGGCGTTTGCGAACGGCCCCGGGCGTCTGCGGAGCAGCCTGGCCCTGTCGAGCTTCCTCCCCGGGGCGCGTTGAACGGCCCTGCTAGTCGGGGAGCGCAGTATGAGGGTACCGTTTCTGCTCCCCGTTCCCCTTTTGGTACCACCAGCGATGCTCCAGGGACGCTCTTTTCTCATGGAGTCGGGCCAGACCTGTCGACGTGCGGCCCCGCTGGAGTCGGGCCCTTATCCCCGCTGGGCCCGAGCCCGACCACGGCCTCTTCGCTTATGTCGGGCGTGTCCCCCTACAAGGGGGGCTTTCGACGAAAAACAAAAAATACACCAAAAATGCACCGAAAAGCTCAAGACATATTCAAAAAATAGTCCCCTGACTATTTTTGGACAATGTTGTGACTAGTCTTAGGGTATGTTTTATTCCTCGTGGAAAATCCCCCCGTGGGGGGACAGGCCCGACTTCACTCTTCGCCCCCCCCCGCTCTCTCCCCGGCCAGCCGCCCCGGAGGTCGCCAGCCCCCGCCGCGAGAAGCCGGCGCAGAAGTCGGGTTCGCCGCCCTGCCCCCGTCGCGCGCGCGGGGCTCCCCGGGCCGCGGCGAGCGCGGCCCGCGGCCCTCCCCGGATAGCCGCGAGCGGCGCGTGTGCACCGCATCGATAGGCGTGTCGTCTCGGCCTCGCTTTCAGTCGGGCCTGTCCCCCTACAGGGGGATTGTCGACAAAAAATAACACATGCGCTCCAAAAATAGTCAAAAAATGATCAAAACAAAAAGTCAGGGGACTATTGTTTAGTAGTTGTGTTGCCTTTTTGGTGTATGTTTGGGGTATTTTGCATTTTTCGTCGAAAATCTCATGTAGGGGGACACGCCCGACATAAGCCTCGCTGGGACGTGTGCGTGTCTTCTCGGCGAGGGCCATCGATGGGCATCTTGGCTCATCTTGCGAGCCAGTAAAATGACGAGGTCGAAAACACATACACGGGGAATGGAGGTCCGAGCGATGGCAGCGCATGCGTGAGAGTCATTCTAGGCATGAGCTGTTGCCTTCCCTGGCTGTTGACGTCTACTATTGCTTAGAAGTGGCAAGGCTGGTAGGTGCCAGTAGGCGCTGGTAGACACTGACAGGCGCCAATCGGTGCTGGCGGGCCCTGGTAGGGACATTGGTAGGCACCAGTAGGCGCCAATCGGGCGAAACCTGGCTCGAAGCCACCCTCGCACGCAATACACGCAACCTGCCGCGCTGGCGCCCCTCGAGGCATCGTCGATCCCACGCAGTCGCTCGGCCCTCGGCGAGCCGAGCCCACTCGGCACCGCGCCGCGCCGCAGCGGGGCCCGACGGGCGTCCAGAGACGCAGCGCGGCGCGCGGGCGCCGCTCTCGCGCCGCAGGGGCGGCGAGGGGGCACGGAGGAGGGACCCGGGGGGCCCCGCAGCGGCGTGCGGTGACCGCGCCGCGTGGCGAGTCCGTGGGAGGAGGAGGACGAGGAGGAGGAGGACGAGGAGGAGGAGGAGGAGGAAGAAGAGGAGGAGGAAGAGGAGGAGGAGGAGGAGGAGGAGGAAGAGAGGAGGAGGAGGAGGAGGAGGACGAGGAGGACGAGGAGGATCGGGGCCACCGCGCGGTGCTGGGGCGCGCGGCGCTCGCCGGGGACCGCGCCTCGGGCGAGGGGCCTCCGCGGCCCCGGGCGGCCGCTCGGCGACGGGCCGCGCTGTGAGGTCGCCGGGGGGCTCCGAGGTCATCGCGCGCTCCGTCACCGCACGGTGTTGGGGGCCCGAGGAGGGCGGGTTCCCAGAGAGCCCACGCTTCGACAAGGTCGCGACGTCGCGAAGAAAATCACGACGGGAGCCCCGGGCCCCATCCTTCTGCGGCAGTGATCTCGACCTGTGAGGGCCCCGGGGCCCGAAGAACTGGGCGGAGAGGTCCGGCCCGAAGAAATGGGGCCGACGGGATCTCAGGGTTGGTGCTGCTGAGGCCCAGGGCTGCACACAGTCGGCCCCCGAGGTACCCCCAGAGGACCCCAGCAGGCTCCCCGAGCTGTCCCGCACCCCGGGGTTGGGACGCTGAGACCCCCCCAGAGTCAAGCAGTGGCGAAGCGTCCTGGCTCGCCTATAGCCCCACCAAATATGTTCTAAGAACCTTTTGTGGTTCCCACGAAATGTTCTTAGAACATTTCTGGTGGAGTCTGTCTTGGTTTAACACATCGGGATAATGTTCTAAGAACACTGTTTTTGTTCTTAGAACATTTTGGGGTTCTAAGAACATGTCGTGGTAGGGCTATAGGAATGCCGGGACGGTCGGTCCCTGCTCAACAGAGTGCTCGGGGACGGTGCGGAATGGCGGGCGCGCAAGGATGCGGCGATGGACGTGGGGGGCATCGAGGGCTGCAGAAAAGGGGCCCCCGAGGGCCTCTAAATGGGCACTCTCGGACCCCAGAAGGAGGTTTTGAGGGCCCTGTAAATGAGCTTCCCCCCCCACACCACCACCCAGTAGCCGAGTTAGACAGATTTACGAAGTCTCCATTCGCGCAAATGTGTGGCTGATTAATGCAATGCCAGCGTGTCTAAGTTTATTAAGTTAAAGTATGTTGATTAGCGCTGACTAGCGCTAACGATGTTGGTTCGAGTTCGGCTAAGCAGGGTAAGTCTGCGTATGTTGCTTATGTATAGGTGTGCTTATGATGATGATATGATCGCGCCATCGTCACTTCAGACATCGTCATTTCCACCACCACCACCACCACCACCACCACCACCACCATCATCATCATCATCATCATCATCATCATCATCATCATCATCATCATCATCATCATCATCATCATCACCGTAGCCGTGGCCTCTTTTGGTTCAATGTAGCTGGAAGTCCCCTCGCTGGTCCCGCGGGCCCGAGCCATGGGGTTGACGTCGTTCGAGGCGTCGTCGTCGCCGACGTTCGAGCCCTCGCCGTCCATCCTGGCTTCGGCATCGTGCTGTTCGGGGGAGGCGCCGACGAGCCCGCAGGAGGTGCAGGCGACCCCGAGCCCAGAGGAGGTGCCCGCTGGAGGCGTGGCCACTGGTTGGCCAGAGCTTCAGAAGGACGCCGGCGGCAACCTCGTTGACCTTTTCGGGACGGCCCAGCCTGTCGCAGCCGCAGCGGCAGCCGCAGTCCCAGGCGTCGATGGCGGGCGTCGCAAGCGTCGCAGCCGCCTCCAGCCTGTCGTGTAGTCGCAGGCGCTATGGGCGCCGACGTTCCAGGCGTCGCAAACCGCAGTCGGCGCTGAGGCAAACGAGGCCAGTGAGGCCAGTGGGGCCGTAGCACAGGCCAGGGGGGCCGATGAGGACCGCCGCCCAGCCCATGAGAATCGCGGCGCCGATGCCGCCGCGATTGCAGGCCACATCCTTCCGGCGCCGCCGTTGCCGCTCCAGTCCAAAGTGCCGCCCACGGCGCCGAAGGCGCCAACTCCTGATAACTCCGTGGAAGAGCCAGAGCTTCGGATCATGGCGAAGCGAGGCCGGCAGCAGCACGATGGCGGTGAGCAGCACGACAGCGATCAGCAACGCGACGACAAGCAGAGGAGCGGAAGATCTGGAGGCACGACAAGCCGACAAGCGCGTCTTCGGACGCGACGTGGCAGACCTCAACCAGCAGAAGCGGCTCGGCATGAGAAGGCACTTGCAGACGCAGGCGGCCCACCCGCAGCACGAGGAAAGCTCAATTGGCTTCGAGTGCGCCAAAGCATGCGCGGATCCGAGGGCTGCAACAGCTTCCTCTTCGGCGGCACCTTCGACAGCAGCAGCATCTCTGGCGTCGCCTTCGCCAGCAGCACGTTCGCCGGCGGCGCCTTCGCCAGCAGCGCCGTCGCCAGCGGCACCTCCGCCAGCACCTTCGACGCAAGCGCCTTCCCCAGCAGCGGCGCCCTCGACAACGCCGCCGCCCGATTGGTCGCCGTGGCTGCCCAGACACCTGACGCAGCTGAGGTGGCTGACCTCCTCTTGAGGTACGTGGCGCCGACGGGCGCGCATCCCGTTGGCCCTCGGAGCACAGCAGTCGCCACTTCAGACCCGTGCGAGCTCCAGCCCGAGGTCGGGCCGCCGAACTTAGCCCGGAGAAAGCACAGATCATGAGCACCAACATCGTCCTCCACGAGCGCGGGGCGTCATCGACATCGCCAAGCGACGAGGGTGATGGTGATGATGATGGTGGTGGTGACGATGGTGATGACGATGATGGCGACTGCCTCCCCCTCCCCGCCCTTCGCGGCCCGGCGCGCCCCCCAGACGTTTTCTCGCTCTGGCCCGGGGGGAGAGGCGGCCCGACGATGGCGCGCCGGGCCCGCGACGCGGCGCGTCCGAGGTGCACGCGACCTAACGGGCCGCACTTCGTCGGCAAGGCCCTCGCCGACAAGTGCGGCGAGAAGGCGGGCCGCAGGGATTCGAGCTCCGCGTGGGACGGCGCGGGATGCACGAGCTCACGCGCGCAGGCCATCGACGAGGCGCCCGTGCCTCCGCGTGCCGGCGCCCTGAAAATCCCACCCCAGACTGCGTCTGCAGGGCTTCCAGCGCGCAAGTGCCTGATGGGCGCCTCCGAAGAGATGCGCATCAGGCGCGCCGCCCTCAGCTGCGACGCGCGCTTCCTGCTCGGGGCGGCCACTGTCGCAGCGGACGACCGGCGGGCCACGACGAAGCACCTCTACAGCGCAGCCTTGCACTTGCACAACGAGGCTCTGGAGCACCCGACGCTTCAGGAACTGGTGAAGATGATAGCGCTACCCTTTGCAGAAGGTGATGGCGGCGGATCTCTGCCCAGCGGCGCCTCCTTCGACAGGCAAGGGGCGCCGCCTGCGGCGCCGAGCCCCCTCGGCGCGGAGCCCCTCGTCGGCCGCCGATGTGGGCGCGTCGGCGGTCCGGGCCCCCCCCCCCCCCACACCGCAGCGCGGGCGAAGGGAGGGCGAGGGCGAGCCCGAAGCAGAAGAGGGCGCTGCGATCGAGCCTCCATCGGACATCGACGTGGAGCTCTCCGGCCTGACGTGCAGTGGTCCAGCGCGCCGCTGGGCGCGCGTCGTTGGCTTCGCGTCCGATAAGGCCGCCGCCCCTGTCCCCGGACCGGACGCAGCGCCGATGCCGAGCGCGGAACTCGGAGGTCAGAACAGCGCGCCAGACGGCAAGGGCAGGGGCGAGAGGAAGAGCAAGAGCACGAGCAAGCTCGCCAAGGGCAAGCGCAGAGGCTTGGGATGGGATGGCGATGAGGGAGAGAGGGCACGAGCAATGCAAGAGCAAGAGCAAACTCGCCATGATGAAGGGGGAGAAAGGGAAATATTCTCAATTCGACACAAAGCAGAGGTGGGGAGGACCGCCAAAGATCCTTGAAAGAGAGGGGCGGCGAGGAGGAGAGAGGAGCAGGGGGGAACATGATCAGGAGGGGGGAGGAGGAGAGGGAGGGACAGAGGGAGGAGGAGGGGGAGAAAAACAGGAGGATCCAGAGGATGAGGGCATGCGCACACGAACGCCAAACGACAGGCCACACAGAACATTGTACTGCATAGTAGCACGTTTGTGTTCACTTCGCATGGTCAAAGCTAAACATCATAAGTCAATTCGAACAAACATAATTGTAGTGGCCTCTGGCCAGTGCCGCCGATCCGGGGCGCTCCTGATGCTATTGTTGTTGAAATGGACGATGACGACGACAACGGACGACCAACGGTCGACGAGCGGGATAATTCCGACGACGACCGAAAAACATAATAACAACGAACGGGCGACAACGACGACGACGACGACGACGACGACTACGACGACGACGACGACGACGACGACTAACGGCGAACGGCTGCCGACGGCCGACGACCGAAGACTGGTGACGGCGACGGGTGGAAGGTTCTTCGTTCACCGCTGTCGCTTCCGAGCAATACCAAGTCAGGCCGTGCACCTCTGGCCTGGCAGCACGCTGGCCGAGAGTGGATCGTATCTTTTAGCAGTTTACGTCGGCTTCGTAGGTTAAGCCTCCTCAGGGAACAACCCCGTGGGCAGTTAAGAGTGCTACGCTTTTTTCGCTTCGATTTCGCGTTGCCAGTGCTCTCCTTCGGATCTGGTCCTCATGAGCTAGAAAGAAAGAAAAGGCCTCTCGGGGTCCTCTTGGGGGCCTCCTGGGGACCTCTTGGGGGCCTCTGGGGGCTTCTTGGGGGCGCCTCGGGGGCATCTTGGGGTCATCCTGGGGTGGAGGACTAGAAGGGTCCGTTCGGATTCACCCTTGGGGGCCTCTCGGGGTCGTCTCGGGGGGCCTCCAGGGCTATATTGGGGCCCTCCTGGACCGTCTTGGCTCCTCTTGGGGGCCTCTTGGGCTGTATTGGGGCGATCTTGGGGGCCTCTTGGACCGTCTTCGGCGCTTCTCAGACGGAAAAGGCGATAATGTCAAAATGTTTCAAAACCTATTCGCAACTTTATTCTTGTACCCTCTTGGGGCCCTCTTGGGGGTCCTCTTGGGATTTCCTTGAGGCCTCTTGGAGGCCTCCTGGAGCGTCTTAAAATATGTTGGTGTTTGGCAAACGCCGCTCAATTGAACCAGCAACACAAGTACATTCAACCAACACAAAAAGTTGGATCAACGTGGTGGGCGCTACTTCTCTGTACTGGTTAGCGCTAGTTTGCGCTGATCGGAGCATGATTGAATTCAACCCTCACAAGATCAAATTAATCAGCATAAGCGCGACTATCTGCGATTAGCTAGCCAACGAATCTAATTCAGCCACTGGGAAAAAAGCCTTTCGGGCTTCCAATGGGAGCTTCGAGGGCCCGAACAGTGCACCAAACTCACCCTCCCAACTGTCGCACCCCAGGAACCTACAGTGCCGTTTTTTACACATGCTCCGCGTGCGGACCATGTATCAAGAATCAAGGGTTGATTAATGAATACAATGATGAGTTTATGCATTAATTTATTCATAAATTAATCATGTATTCGAATTTATGTTTATTTATTTATTTATTTATCTATTTATTTATTTATTACTATTATTATTATTATTATTCTTATTCTTCTTCTTATTATTATTTTAACACCAAGTATTGCAAACTGCCCTGCAGGCTTCCCAGACGTGGTCCGAGCGAATGGGGTCGGAGGATCGCCGCGCATCACCAATGCATCCGCAGTGCGGCTCCCTGTGGAGCCCGACTTCCTTCGCGCCGACGTCGCCGACGCATCGCCGACGCCGCTGGTGCATCCCCGATGCTGTGGGGAAAAACACACGCAACACACACACTCTCACACACACACACACACTGTGGGAAAACAAAAACACAAAAAGCACAAACACACACATACACACAAAACAAAACAAAAACACTGTATCGTCGATGCAGCGCGACCTTCCGACCCCATCTACTCGGAGGCCTCTCACAAGGCTTCGCGCCCGGGTTGAGGCCAGCCTGGTTTCGGCGGGCCGTCTGCGCGCCGCTCGACAGAGCTTTCCGGGTGAGGCAGCGCAGGCCTCATGGGCTCGGGCCGAGCGCTCTCTCGACTGCGGCTCTGTGGGGCGGCGCCTCCGGACCCCTCTCCGCCGCCCGCAGGGCCAGGGAACTCCTCCGTGCCGAGGATGGAGGGAGGGAGGGAGGGAGGGATGTAAGACGAAGCCAGGACGGTGACAAAATCGGGTGAGGATAAATCGAGGATCTCTGAGATCCGGCGGCTCCGGAGGATGTCCTGGGCGCCGCGGCATTGAGAGCGTTCAGGAAGGCTCTGGTAGCGTTCTGGAACGCTCGGGAACGGATCTGACTTCGTACCAGCCCCATCCGAGGATGCAGGAAGTTCGGGGGGTTCCCGATGTCTCCGGTTGTTCTCTGACGTTTTGGGAGGGTGGCTTGGGTTTTGGAAATCTCACATTCCTCTTGATCGTTCCGCACCCCTGCCTCGGGGGGCTTGCCCTCCTTGTCGCGCTCCGCGCGGCTGCGCGGCGGGCGGAGTTTCTTGGCGGTCAGCCAGCGTTCCCCCCTGCGCCCAAGGTTGTGTGGGTTGCGCTTGCTGAGGTCGATCCGCGCCTCGAGCGTTGCCCCCACGCGCCGGGCGATCCCCACTTGCGCTGTCCGTCGATGCAGCTCGCGGCTCTGGCTCGCGCAGGGGTTGTGGCTCGGTCGCGAGGGGCTCCCCCCCCCTCCATGCTCTGTGTGCGCGGAGTCCCTCGGCTTGCCGCGTCCGCCGCACAGGCCCGCGCGTCGGCTGTTTTGCCTCATTGGGCTTTTCCTGCCCGTACCTGTTTAGATTTCCGCTCTTTGCCACTGTGTAGTTATGGCTACCGTTTCGGCCTGCATTGGGTGCCATCTTGGAGGCCACCGGCCACCCGGGCCCTGAGCCCCAAAGACTGCCCCTTCAGAGCCCTGTTGCGACGCTCTGGTGCTCTTGGGATTTCTGAGCTTTCTTTGGCCTCTCAACCCCCAAGCGTTATACCGTCCAAGCGTTATACCGTTATCTGGGTCTCCAACCCCCCCCACCCTTGGGGTAACCATTGGCACTTCGAGTAAAGAATTAGCTAGGCGAAAGATCCAACTATAGCCTTCGGTCGAGCTCCACACGCGGCCACGAGACTTGCGAGTGGTGTGCCGAAACGGGTAGCGGTGACGGACGCGGGCACAGCCGTTGAGGCCATAGGCGGAGCTCCCCAGGGGGCCACGAAGCGCGTGAAGGGTGTGAATGGGTGACGGGGGCGCATGCGGCCGCAGCGACTGGGACCTTGCGTGGAGCTTCCTATGGGGCCCCGAAGCGTGTGAGGGGCGCGCCGAAATGGGTGACGGGGGCACATGCGGCCGCAGCCATTGGGGCCTTCGGTGGAACTCCTTATATGGGGCCACGAAGTGTGAGGAGTGTGCCGCTGTGGGTGGCGGGGACGCCTGCGGGCACAACCCTTGGGACAATGGGTGGGGCTCCCTATCGGGCCACGAAGAGTGTGAGGGGTGTGCTGAGATGGGTGGCGGGGACGCCTGCGGGCGCAGCCATTGTGGACTTTGGATGGAGCTCCCTATGGGGCCACAAAGCTTGTGATGGGGTGTACCGACACGGGTGGCGCGGGCCCGTGCGGACGGCGCCCCTGGGGATAGCAGGAGGAAGGCAGGACGCGGGGCACTGTCTCTTCAAAACGAGGACCAAGATTCGGGGGTGGACAGAACCCCCAACAGTGACACGTCGATTAGTGAATTGTCCGTTTTCGGTTCTCGAGAGGGCGCCGTGGCCGTTATTTTCCAGGCCTGCGCCCACCAGGTTTGGGCCTCAGGTCGTTTTCACTAAACCACGTTTCACTAAAGGGGGGTCTGTCCATCCCCGAAAGATACCACAGGATGGTTGGAGCAACATGCTTTTGGGCTTTTCTTGAGACCACCCTGGGCCATCGGAGGCGAACCTGCGAGGATGATGCCTTGTTTTGGCAATGTGGGCACTCGGGGGGCATCGCGGGAAGGCTCCCTGCCCACATGACCATCTTTGGGTCGTATCCTGGCTTTTTGTTGGTGGACGCGTGTTCGATAGCCACACTTCGCCATCCCGGAGGCCATGTCGGGCTATCTGCGGCCATCCTGAAGCCATCTGGCGCTCAGCCGCCCCCGTCCAGACCACGCCCGGTGGGGGGGCGGGCTCGGGAGCCTCGAGACGGGGGTCAATGCAGACGGGGATCAGCCAGGGCGCCAGATCCTGCAGGATCCTGCGAAGACCCCCTCTGGCTGACCCGGGTTAGCGAGCCGCTCGTGGCCGCGAGGCGGCCGCGCATATTGGTTGACCCGGGTTTGCGAAGATCTGCGTTGCAGTTTTTTTCCTGCATTGCAGTTTTTGGTTTCCTGCTGACCCGGGTTTGGATTGACCCGGGTCAGAAGATCCCCGAGGGGCAAGCCGTCACCCCACGAGGGGATCAGGGAGTCTAGAAGAAATGGTTCAGTAATCAGACCCTGGACTGCTTCACGCAGCTCACGACGGGTGGCCACGATGGGCCAGCGTTTTCGGGGCCCGGCATCCGTCACCGGGGTGCTGGACGTGTGCACAGATCTATGTGCGTGCTAGCCACCGTGGACAAACGCCAGTGGGTTGTAGCTCGTTGGATGTGGAAGCTATACGGTGCAAGCTATATTGTGCAAGCTATGTCGTGTAAGCAATGTGTTGCGAGCTGCGTGGTGTACGCTTTGTGGTGTAAGGCAGGTGGTGTGGGCTGGAGGTGGACGCTAAGCGATGTAAGATATGTCGTGCAAGCTGTGTGGTGCAAGCTATGCGGTGTAAGCTTTGTCGCGGAAGCTATGCGGTGTAAGCTATGTGGTGTACGCCGTGTCGTGCAAGCTAGGTTGTGGAATTCATATGGTGCACGCTATGCCGTGCAAGCTGTGTGATGTGAGCTCAGCGCACGGGGCGCCCTCGTTGGCCCTTGAAGCGACCTATCGGGACAGCCCGCACGCACATGGGGCGCCCGCGAGCGCCCACGAGGCGGCACCCTGCGGCAGCGTGGCGCGGCATCGACCGGCACGCTCTGGGCACGCGGTGCCCACGAGGCGGCTCGGGCTGGGGAGGTTCCCTCGGGTGGTTTCCAGTGGGGAGACTTGTGTTCCACGGGCTCCGCGGGTCCGGGGTTGGAACAAGCACGCGTGGAAATGCATGACAACATAGCCAGGCATAATGATGCGCCTTGTCTGTCCCGTCCGCGCAAGCCTTGGGCGGACGGGCGGCAGCGTGGCGCAGCCGCGGCCGACCCGCCCGGCGTGCGGGGCGCCCACGAGCGCTTCCCCAGGGCGGGCACGGGGCGACAGCGTGGAACATCCTCGGCCGACCCGTACGCTCATTGAAGTAACGATACCAAAGATGCAAGCTCTGTTTGTTGTGTATAAAACCTGCATGTGTGTATACAAACGTTCATATATGTGTGTTGTATATGTAGATACACATACATGTATGCATGATTGTATATGCTTGCGAATAATGCTTTCCATGACGGACCCGTTGTTTAGAGAACTACGCCCAGATGGTTGGTGGGATTTCGCCCCTCTCCCTATTCCTGTCCAACCCCCTTCCGCTCACCCTCCCCCGCCCCTTCCGTTTTCTCCTTGCCCCTCATTTCCGTCGCCGTTTTGTTCTTTTCTTACCTTCTCCTATACCACCCCGTGTCCGCCTTTCCACCCGCGTGAGGTGCCGAGGAGTTCTGGTACCACTTGCGTTATGACGACCTGGAGAAGAGAGGTGCCCCTCCCAAGATCTGGACTAGCTCGCCTATGTGGCCGCCTTCGGCATTACACTGCGCCCCGGTCCCCATCAGTTCCCTCCGAGCCTTCAGTCGGAGCATGCGGAAAAGGTGGGAGGTAGACCGACTACTGACCGGGGTCGGAGATGCTGCCGATTGGTGAAACCTGTGTGGCGTGTATCCGGACATGCGAAGATCCTGACTGAAGTGTGCAGTTGCGTGCTCGAGTGCGGCCGAGGCGCTGTTGATGGCCGTTGACTCGTGGGACCATCCAGACGGTCTTTGGGCGTGCTGGCCATCCGGCGCTGAAGCACATCTCCTCTGACGGGTTGGGCTGACTTTTCCTTTGGGCGTCCCCGAGGGTGTCTGCTCTTGCTCTGCGTGAAAGCAGCGCTGTCTGGAGTCCGCCGTCGTGCCAGTTTGTCGTGCCGCTCGTGGTTACACGGGCTTGCATCCCCTGACCTTCCAGGAGGGCTAAAAAATAGCACCCGACGTAAAAACCTATTCCGAAGCTATTCTACGTCTTGGTTTTAGGCTGTTTCGCACAGCTTTTTAGGTTTTTAGGTCTCCAGTGCTAAAAAATAGCTCTCTGGAAGGTCAGGGTCAGTTCGTGCTGCTGCTTCCCCGAGCAGTGCCTGCACCGAGGGTTTTTCTGTCTGCCTCCCACGGGACTGGGCCCCGTCTGCGGCCCCGGCGGCCCCGCTTCCGCCCGAGACTCCCCAGTGAGCAAAGACAAGTCACGAGGGAAAGAAACACACAGACACGATTCATCGTCGACCCCCAGGAAAATATGGGAAAATGTGGGAAGTGGGGGGGAAGACAGAAACCCAGAACATATGGGGAAATGTGGGGAATCATTCTATTTGTGTGTATTTGTTTGTGTGTCCTGGGGCCCCTTTCACAGGGCCCGTCTGCGGGCGACAGGCGGCCTCGTTCCCGCCCGTCGCCGCCGCCCAGTTGCGCCCCCCCCCCCCCCCCCTTTGGAATGGTGACCGCATTGCGCTGCAGTGGCATTGCGTTGCCGTCGCATGGCATTGCCGTCGCATCGCATTGCCGTCGCAGTGCGTGGCATTGCAATCGCACTGCATTGCTTTGCACTGTTTGTCAGTTGCGTTGCAGTGCCCTGCCTTGCTTTGCATCGATCTGCACTGCTCTCGGTGCTCCGTCGTGCTGATGTGCGTTGCACTGCTTTGTGCTGCGTTGCAGTGCTTTGCACCGCACAGATTGTACCACATGGATTGCACCAACTAGGTTGTGCCACCTAGATTGCGCCGCATACGTTCCAAGGAACCACTGTTTGTGGTCCACGCTGGCTAACATCATGTATGCGGGGGTTCAGGTTTTCCGTTGAGCGCAGATCGCCTAGCATTGTCCCTCTTCGGCAATGGACGCGGTGCGTTAGCGTCATCGTTACGATCAAGACGTTGTGCCATCTAATACTATGCAATGCACTTGTATGCAAGGCTCCTCTCGGTCATGCTATCTTTATACTTCTGTGCACCGACGTGTATGATGGTGCGCCGTGCTGTTGTACGCGTTGCGACTGAATGCTACGCTATTCGAAGTTGCGCAAGGTTGTAATATCCAGCTCTGCGGTATACAACGACCCTGTATCTTCTGACATTGTATGCAGTGTGTATTGCTATGGTTTCCTTTGCTACGCAGTGCTATGATGTGTGGTACGGTATAATGATGTGATGTGATATGCGAGCGACGATCTCCATGCCACGCGATGCCATGCTGCGCTATGCTGTGCAACGCGATGCAATTCCATACAACCAGTGTCTGTGCTGCGCCAAGCTACGGTCTACGCAGGGCAATACCCTACCATTTTGTGTCATGCGATGCGGCGCTATACAGAACTGTGGCGTGGTATGCATTTAGTTGCCCTGGCATGCCTTGCTCGGCAGAGGCACGGACTATGGGGAGCAGTGGTAGCCCAGTGAATACAATGCCATACAATGCGCAGCACTTGTATGCAATTCTACGCAATGCTCCCATGGCATGTTCTGTTGAGTGGTGCTCTGGCCTGGCTTAGTTCGCTATACTGTGCTTCTCATGACATTGTCATGGCATTGAATTTTCTCCCGCTGCAGTCCACTGCGCACATTCGCTCACAATCAACCTGGAACCCTGAATTGCGATCGTGGGATCCTTCTTCGGTGACCTCGGCAAGCGGTGGATGTGGATCCGTTTTGGCCCTGGATGGGGCCAATTATATTCATATCCACCGCCTGCCGAGGCCCCCGAAGATCTATCCCACATGTCGTGGTCATGAATCGATCCCCTAGGATGCAACTCCTGGGAGGTTCCCTTCTGAAACGGCGCGGGTATATCTCTGGTCGAACACTGGCGCAGTCGGAATCAGTCCGGCTTAATCCCACCTCATCCCGCTCAGTCCGGCTCGATCCCGCTTCATCCGCCTTACCCTGACCTTCCAGAGAGCTATGCTTTAGCGCTGGAGGCCGAAACACCTAGAAAAATAAACGAAACATCCCAAAACCAAGACGCAGAGTAGCTTCGGGGTAGGTTTTTAAGTACGCGGTGCCATTTTTTAGCCCTCCTGGAAGGTCAGGGTAACCCTGGGCCCACTCCGGCCCACTCCTGCCCAGTGGCCCCCGCAACCTTTACGAATTGGGGGTCTCATAGCTCTGCGTCGCTCTGCCGATGGCCTTCCAGGACTGTGATGTTCCAACCTACTTGAGCAATGATCACCAAAAACAATTTCGAGCACCACAAAAGTACCGAAACTCGAGTGTTTTCACGTGTCGGGCCCTGGGAAACACTCGTCCGACCATGCTTCGACACTCTTTGGACACTTTTCGGGTGCTCGAAAGGATTTCTGGGATTCGGTCCCTGAGTACGATGGGCGCAACATAATCCCAGGAGCTGCCCCCTAACATCCCCGCTTTGCACCTCCCCGAGATCCGACGTCCCGAACACATTGAGACATCGTGAGAAATCACGACTGGAGCTCCGGACCCCATCTTTCTTCCCATTCGTCGAGCCGGAGCCATCCGTGAGGGTCCCGGGGCCCGAAACTGGGCGGAGAGGTCCGGCTCGGAAAGATTATCACGAGGGGAAAAACCACAGACATCATTGATTGCCGATTCCCAGGAAAATGCGCGAAACTATGGGAAGTAGGGGGGAAGACGAAAATCCCCCCCAATTGTTTGTTTGATGAGTATGGGGAGTCCAGTCCTTTGTGTGTATTGATTTGCGTGTCCTTGGGCCCCTTCAGATTAGAAGTCGCCAGCATCTCGGGGCTCGCACCTCCTCGTCCAGGGCCGCGCGGCGGAGGGGGCGGCGGCAGCGGCCGGGCAGGTACGCCCGAGTGGCCTCTCAGGAGCATCGGCGACAACATGCCGCCCATCCGGGGCGAGCGCCCGCCCCGGCCCGATCGGGGCTCCTCCTCCCCCTCCCCCTCCTCCTCCTCCTCCTCCTCCTCCTCCTCCTCTTCCTCCTCCCGAGTGCCATGTGTTGGATAGATCCCGAGTACCATGTGTTGGATAGATCAAGGTGCATTTCATACTCATCTAGCAGAGCTTATGATATCACTGTATGAGGAGGAGGAACAACAGGTTCTGCGAGATATGCCCGAAGGTTCCGTTGCTGCAGAGCAGGCTATCCGTAGAGTTCGCCGCCTGTCTTCTGCATGGGCTGCGGCACGGCCGCGCATCAGGCTCTCCGCTGTTCGTGGCCCTGATGGTGAGGTGCATTCTGATCCTAACGAGGCTGCTTATCTTCTGGCCCGTCATTGGGGACAAGTTTTTGATAATCGACATGAACCTGAAAATCTTGCCGATAACGATGCTCCAGGGGACGCTCATCCGCTGGTTGGGTTCATCCAAACAGTAGATGGCTCAGGTGAACAGTATGTGACTGCATCTCACCAGAGATATGATTGGATTCTGGAGGAGTCCGCCTTCTTTGAGCTGCTTCAGGCAAAGAAGCATGATTCAGCTGCAGGCCCAGACGGAGTCCCGTACTCTGCGTGGCGGCATGGTGGCTTGGTCGCCCGAACCGCCTTGTTTGACCTGTATCGTCACATCCTTCGATCAGGCCGTCTCCATCCTCATTTTAACCATTGCCGTGCTGTATTCTTACCGAAAGGAGAGATCGAGAATGAGGGGGAGGAAGTGAGAGAGGCCAATGCCGTTCGTCCCTTGTCATTATCGAACACTGACAATAAACTCGTTAGTGCCGCCATCGCCTCGGTCCTTAACCACGTCGCCGCCGAAACCTGCCATGACGTCCAGAGGGGATTCGTGAAGGGGAGGATGATGAATGACAACATTATTTCGATCGAGGGGATGATGACGGTCTGGGGTGTGGTCTTTCGCGAGTTGAAGAGTGGTGTCGCCCTCTTCGACTTTAAGAACGCCTTCCCGAGCGTCTGGCACAGCTGGATCTTTTTTGTTCTGCACCGAATGGGGCTTCCCTTTCGGCTGACGAGTGCTATAGCTGTGTTGTACGAAGATGTCTGGACGCACATTACCCTGGGAGATTTTGGAAGATTTGGCTACGAAGCCCTTCGGGGCATGAAACAAGGCTGTCCTTTGAGCGGAGTTTTGTTCGCCCTGGTCCTGGACCCCGTTGTTCGATATATCCTGCAGCTACGGCCTCGTCTGGAGTTCGAGCTCAGTGCCTTTGCGGACGACCTGTCGGTTGTCGCCAGGGACCTGTTTAAGTCTTTGCCCTACATCACCAAGCGGCTGCTGGTGGCAGGTGCTGTTACAGGATTGCACCTCAACCTCCAGAAGTGTGTGATAGTGATGCTCAACATCGCTGAGCCAAATGAGGTCGTGCAAGGGTTTCAAACTCGTGGGCTTAACGTCTCTAAGTTCCTCATTCAAAGGTCTGGGAAACTCCTTGGGGTCACTATCGGTTGGGATGGCTTCCGCTCTTCTTGGGACCCTGTGGCCAAAAAGCTGCGCTCCCGCACCGGTGACGTGCTCAACCTGGGCCTCAGTTTTGTGAATAGCATCCAAGCGTTCAACACTTATGCTGTACCTGTCTGCTCGCATGTGGGGCAATTTTACCCGCCCAGCAAAGCCTTGATCAGGCAAGAAAGAGAAAGTCATCAGCGTCTGCCTCGGGCCCCTCGCCACTCTTTCCCCCCCAAAGCCATGTTCCACCTGAAGCAGTTGGGGTTGCCGCTCGAATGCAGGTCCATCAGTATTCTCGCCCGTGCCTCAATGTTGAGGACAGCGATCAGGTCTGAGCAGTTTCAGGTGATATGTGATCGGCTCTCTGCAGCTGAAGATGATGATGAATTTTGCCCTGCATACAAGTTGCACCCGTTTTTCAAGCAGTCTATCCTCTACTTCATGAAAGCTGAATATGATAGATATATGGCTATTCCTTATGCCCCTTCGCTCAAGCCACCCAAACTACTCCAGCAAGCTATCACCAAGTTCCTCCTTCGGAAACGTGAATATGTCGTTCCTGCCGAACTCGTCATCCATAGAATGTTATATTGGGATAAGTCCTGTACTCCTGCTGACGCTGATCTGACTGTTATTCGTGTGAATACTGTAGGCCTGAAGCTCCCTAGTTTTGTAATTACATCCATCCTCAAATCCCTATATAACGCCTGGCCAACGACTAGGAGGTTTCGACAAGCTACTGCCCAGTGTGTTTTCGGGTGCTCGGGCCCTGGCAACGACACCATTCCTCATTATTTTTCGTGTCCTGTTGCGGTTCCCTGTATTAGGAAACTGCTTCCCCAGCTCCCCCCGTCCTGGGGGATTGACCCTCTTGCCAGTATTTTGCCCCACCGGTGGCCCTCATCATCTGCCACTCTCTCCCCTTGTCTTGCGCGCGAGCAGCAGCATGCCATCGCACTTGCCTCTGATTTATTGTTCACTTCTTTCAATGCCTGCCGCAGGAGAGGGGTCCTCGGGAGGCGTGCAGCTCGGAAATATGCAGCGGAGGCCATTCGCGCAAGGGCGCGGCAGGCTAGCTTCCGCTCTATGGTGATGAAGGAGTTGTTGCTCTAACTCGGTTGGCGCTCCTCCTCCTCCTCCCCCTCCCCCTCCTCCTCCTCCTCCTCCTCCTCCTCCCCTCCTCCTCCTCCCCCTCCTCCTCCTCCTCCTCCTCCCCCTCCTCCTCCTCCTCCTCCTCCTCCTCCTCTCTCCTCCTCCTCCTCCTTCTCCTCCTCCTCCTCCTCTTCCTTCTCCTCCTCCTCCTCCTCCTCCTCCTCCTCCTCCTCCTCCTCCTCCTCCTCCTCCTCCCCCTCCTCAATATGAATACTACTCTCCCTTTTCCATTGATGACGGCCTGGGAGTGTCCGACCCCCCCCGCGTAAAGGTTTTGTACACATAGGTTTCCCTGGAGTTGGGTTTTCGCGTGCATTTTTTTCAAAATGCTGCTCTCGCTGAGGCGCCGGCCTCATTTTCGGGCCCCGCTCGTTCCGAATCGTGCTCCCGCTGCAGCGCTGGCCTCATTTCCGTGCTTCCGCTCGTTCCGAATCGTGCTCCCGCTGCAGCGTTGGCCTTATTTCCGCGCTTCCGCTCGTTTCGACTCGTGCTCCCGCTGCAGCGCTGGCATCATTTCCCGTGCCATACCACGGCATGCAATGCAATGCGAGGTTGATACTACGCTTTGTGGTGCTCTTCTACGCCATGCCATGCCGTGCTCTACAATGCATCGCGTGCCCTTTCGGGATCATTGCCATGCTCGACATCCGACTGTGCGAGTAGAGAGGTGATCTGCGCCATGGTAAGGGATGGGAGGGAGGGGTAGGATGTCAGATATGACGCGAGCGCACCTAGCTTGTCCCCCTCCCCCCTCCTCCTCCTCCTCCCTCCTCCTCCTCCTCCTCCTCCTCCTCCTCCTCCTCCTCCTCCTCCTCCTCCTCCTCCTCCTCCTCCTCCTCCTCCCTCCTCCTCCCCCTCCTCCCTCCTCCTCCTCCTCCTCCTCCTCCTCCTCCTCCTCCTCCTCCTCCTCCTCCTCCTCCTCCCCCTCCTCTTCCTCCTCCTCCGCCTCCTCCTCCTCCTCCTCCTCGGGTCGCCAACGGCCCCTGGGGAAACCGTGCACTGGTACTGGCCCAGAGGGGTTCGGGCAATTCACTCTTCTGGGGTGAGCTCGGCCTCGCGCCGGCACACGCGGGCTGGGGTCGCACTGGCGTGCAGCCGGTGCTAGACGTGGCCGTCCACCTCTCGCGCAGACGGCCGCCGCAGGCCAGAGTGTAGAAAGGACATCGTGGCCACAAGCCCACCCTTTCTTGCGTCCGGTATTTTTTTTGGGGGGGGATCATGTCTGGCCTGGCCTGATACCTGCAGCATTACTTGGCGTCCATCGTTTCGGATAGCTTCGGATTGCCACAGATGGCGTCCAGGCGCATTCAGGAAGGCGTGGGGTCTTGATCGCTGGCCATGTTTGGGGCGGTGAGCAAACAAGGTGTCGCGGCCGCAATTCTTCCCAGCTTCAGCTTCGGCCCGCTTGGTCTGGTCTCGGGTACTTTGCTGAATGGGGTCTTGCCCCCAGCCCCGAATTCCATCTGGACATTGGTTGCTGTCGCATATGAGCGTACGTGTTCCAAGTCGAGTATGAGTGTTCGCCCAGCCATGGTGGCATGATGGGCTTCGTAACACAGAAAAGAATCAACACAGTCGGTTGCATGTCTATGTTCAGATCTACGCTTATGTATGCAAATATGTGTATATGCACATACGCATGTACATACATTCAGTTATGCATTTGAGCGTGCTCCCCCGGCGAGAGTATGGTGCGCCGCCTCTCCTGCTGTCAGAGGCAGGAAGGGGAACGCACTAGGATGTTATGCTAGTTCTGTGCGTACTGCCTGTGCGCAGTCTGTGGTCGCGGCGGTGGGAATGGTGATTGCGCCAAGAGCAGCATCAGAAGCGGAAGCAGCAGTGCGGCGTCCGAGACCATCGATGTAGTGATCGCAGGGCAGCGGCAGCAGCAGCAGTATCTACAGCAGCGTCACTGCTACGAACGGTTACATCCGACATACTAGCCACAGCAGCCTTCTACATGCATACGCCTCACAGCTAAGCGACGGAAGCACCGGGTGCGCTCCGTCAGCGAAATGGCTGGACTAGATTGGAAGCATTGGTGTCTGTCGTTTGTGGGACAGCAGTAGATTTGTGTTTCAGCACTTCGCAGCCATCACGTGCATCTGCAGTTTGCGTTGGCTTTGTTTACACTTCAACGCCGTGCTTCGACATTGCATCCTAAGGTGTCCTGCTCAGGACATATTGCAGTCCTGGGTGCACTAGTGTTGGCAGCCCGTTGCGATATAGATGCGACGTGTGATGCTTCTCTGAGGTTTTGGCTGACAAGGAAGGCCGTGGAGATGAGCAACTTGTACTTCCACTGCTCATCGACGCTCGCTCAGGCTGCTCTCCGCTTCTCGCGAATTGCCGATGGGTGGAACAGGTTAGAAGACTCCGCCAGATCCGTACGGTAGAGGGAAACAATTAGTGAACACCCCCCCTGCCCCCCAAACTCAAGGTTGGCACGCGCGGGGGAGACTGCGGGCGAGGTGCAATTCATCAGACCCACCGCCAACTTTGAACATTGGGGGGAGGGGGAGGCGTTCACAGATGAATGTGGCATAAGTGTTCGCTGTTTTTTTCTGAGGCCTGCACCTCCGCGATGTCCAAGACATGGTTGACGCTTTGCGTGTCCCCACCGGCCCATTCAGCAGTAGTCGGCAGGCGGGTCGCCCGGATCAGGGACCTGTAGCAGTTTGCAGTCACGCTCTCTAGGGGCCTCTTTGAGGAATCTTGGGGCCATGGTAGGGCCCTAGTTGAAGCTCTCTTGGGTCTTGCAGTCATGTTGGAGGCATTGGGAGGCTTTCTTGGGGCCCTCTTGGGCTCTCTTGTGGGCCAAGAGGGGCCTCTAGAGCCATCTTGGGGGCCATCGAAAAAAGAGGAGGGGATTCTTCATCAATGCCATCCCCCCCTCCTCTTGGAGGCCGAGCAGTCGCCTCTTGGAGCCCTCTTGGGGTGCTCTTGGAGCGCCATTGGGTATCCTTGGGGCTGTCTTGAGCCCCTCGTGGGCCCTCCTTGGGGCTCACTTGGGTCATCGTGGAGCCATTGCCAGGCCGCAAGAGCCCATCGGAAGCGAAACGAAAGGGCGAGAAGGCACGCCACCTTGATTCTATCTAGGTGTTGGAAGAATGTTGTTCTTTCGTGGGGGTCCTCGGGAGGCTCCGTGGACACTTGGGATCTTCTTGGAGCGGTTCGGGGGCCCGGTTGGAGGCACGTTGGCAGCCATATTGAACCATCTTGCGCTATCTTGTGCGATCTTCGCGGCCGTCTTGGGCTAGCTGGAGCCCTCGTGGGGTCATCTTGGGCCATCTTGGACGCTCTGAACGCTCGCGAAGAGCTCGTCCAGACCAGGAAGACAGGGTAAGAGACGAGGTGTGCCTCTCCCTCAAGAGAAAGGGGAGGTTGGAAGAGCGGACTGGCTAAACCACCTACGCCCTACCGGGCGGATGGGATTTGATCGAGGGTGGTGAGGGGTTCAGGGAGAAGGAGGAGTATGAGTATTCAGGCTAGCCAGCTCGAACAAGCCAGCGGGCTCCGGTCACTCCCACCCTCCCTCCCATGGCATAATAATGCATGTTGGCATTCTTGGATACCGGGCTTGGCTCGTGCTCTCACTGAGCGAGAGGACAGCGCTCCCGTGCGCGACCCTGCTTCCAACAACCTGGCGAAGAGGAGCAATCCGCCGCGCCCAAAAGAAAAGGCACCTTCGGGGATAATCTTAGAAGAGAGCAGCCTTCCTAAGGCCAGCACAACCCACACCCACCACCGCCAGGATCCCCACCGCTGACCTGTTGATCCAGGGGCTCCTGGCTGAGGGGAAGGGTGCTTGCCTTCGGTTCTTGGGGGCCCGCTTGACCACCCGGCGGTTCTTGGACACCAAAAAAGCATCTCCACCCCCAGCCGGGACCCGTTGCATTACCAAGCTTGGTGTTGTCAAGCAGCGGCGAAGCGTCCTGGCTCGCCTATAGCCCCACCAAATAATGTTCTAAGAACCTTTTGTGGTTTCCACGAAATGTTCTTAGAACATTCTAGACGCTTCGCGTATCCCCACCAGCCCGTCCAGAAATGAGTCCCAGGGGAGTGGAGGTTATGAGGGAAGCGGGGGAGCATGCAGAAGAACAAAGGGCGGGGTGAGCCGCCATATACCCCAAGAGGGGGAGGATGTAGGAGGAGCCGTCGTCGTCGGAGTAGGAGGAGGAAGAGGAGGAGCAGGAGGAGGAGGAGGAGGATAGAAGGAGGAGGAAATGGAGGACTGCGAGGACGAGGAGGACGAGAAGGAGGAAAAGGAGAAGGAGGAGGAGGAGGAGGAGGAGGAGGAGGAGGGGGAGGGGGAGGAGGGAGGAGGAAGAAAAAGAGGAGGAGGAGGAGGAGGAGGACAATTGCGAGCTTGGGGGCCTCTTGGGCCGTCCTTGGGGCCTCTTGGCGGTCCCGGGGGCCTCTTGCGTATCTCGGGGAGCCTCTTGTGGCCTCTTGGGGGTCTCTTGGGGGCCTCTTGGAGGCCTCTTGGGGGCCTCTTGGGGCCTCTTGGGGCCCTCTTGGGGCGCTCTTGGGGCGCTCTTGGGAGCCTTCGAGGCGCTCTTGGGGCCATCTTGGAGGAGATCTATCAAAGAAGGGGGGGTCCCCAATTAGCGCTGCTCCTCTAGAGTGCCTCGAGTCGCCTCTTGGGCCCCCCCAAGAGGCCAAAATCCTTCCAAAACCTAGGTAAAATCAATGTTTTTTGTTTTCTCGCCTTTTCGCTCTTGGACCCGTCTTGGGAGCCTCTTGGGCCTCTTGGGGGTCTCTTGGGAGCCTCTTGGAGGCCTCTTGGGCGCCTCTTGGGGCCTCTTGGGGCGCTCTCGGGGCGCTCTTGGGGCGCTCTTGGGAGCCTTCGGGGCGCTCTTGGGGCCATCTTGGAGGAGATCGATCAGAGAAGAGGGGGTCCCCAATTAGCGTTGCCCCTCTAGAGTGCCTCGAGTCGCCTCTTGGGCGCCCCAAGAGGCCAAAATCCTTCCAAAACCTAGGTAAAATCAATGTTTGTTGCTTTCTCGCCTTTTCGCTCTTGGAGCCGTCTTGGGTCATCTTGGACTCTCTTGGGGCCTCTTGGGGGTCTCTTGGCAACGTCTTGGAGGCTTCTTGGGGGCCTCTTGGGGTCTCTTGGGGCCCTCTTGAGGCGCTCTTGGGGCGCTCTTGGGAGCCTTCGGGGCGCTCTTTGGGCCATCTTGGAGGAGATCTATCAAAGAAGGGGGGGTTGCTTATTAGCCCCGCCCCTCCAGAGTGCCTCGAGTCGCCTCTTGGGCCCCCCCAAGATGCCAAAATCCTTCCAAAACCTAGGTAAAATCAATGTTTTGTGTTTTCTCGCCTGTTCGCTCTTGGAGCTGTCTTGGGCCATCTTGGACGCTCTGACACCTCGCGACCGGCCCCGTCCAGGTCAGTGGGGAGGGGTAAGGGGAGGGGTAAACCCCTCCCCGAAGGGGAAGAAGGGGGTTGGCAGAGGAAACTCCCTAGACCACCTACGCCCTAAAGGGCTGGTGGGATTTCTGGCAGAGTCTGTCTTGTTTTATCACATCGGGTTTATGTTCTAAGAACCTTGTTTTTGTTCTTAGAACAACTTTGGGTTCTAAGAACATTTCTTGGTATGACTATAGGAATGCCGGGACTGTCGGTCCCTGCTCAATGTTGTCTTCAACTCCGATCGTTTGAGAGCGGCTACGGTGCCAACCAGACTGGCGGCTCAAACGATTTCGCCGCGCTCAGGCATTAGCGCACCTTTCGGGCAGAGCTTGTCAGGCGCCTCGGCGTCAGGCATGCCCGCGCTTTCCAGATTCCGCCGATCTGGCGAGCGCACAACGTGTGCCGCGCCCATGCGGGAACGCGGCTTCCAGGATAAAAAGGAGGGCAAGCGCTGAGGCGAGATTGATGTTTCACACGTGCGCCGTGTCCTGCTCCTGGCACGCAGGTTGCAACGTCAACTACGGAACGTCCATGCTTTTTAGGGCAAGCATGGACTTTGTTCACAGTCGGGTAGGATGGAACATACGGGATATTACCCCGAATGTCTGCGACTAAGTTGCAGAGTGGGAGCGCGTATTTGTACACAGTAATGACAGAATGATCAGGGACACGTGTATGAGCAGGATTCGTGAGCTGCTCCCGAGCGTGCCCCCTCGATGGGGAGATAGATGCACAAGGTCTCTGCATGAAGTCAGCATGACCAGGCATCGGCGGTGCTCCCAGGGGGGAACGGCAGAGGGGGCGGTCTTTAGAAGGCTCAGAAGGGCTCCTGCCTTCTGATAAGCTTTCTGAGCCTTTTCCGAAGCCACAGAGGGCGCATCAGAGGGCCAGAGGGCTTCTGAGAAGCACCGCAGCGTACTGAGAAGTCCTGCCCACTCGGATGCAACTCCTGGGAGCTTAAATTCAGCATCGGCGCTGGTAGGACCGTGGTCGAACATCGGCTGGCAGAATCCCGCTGAATACCGCTCAATCCGTCACGAACTGGCTTAATCGTGCTTAATCTGGGCTGATTCACCCCCTTTACTCGGGCTTCATTGTCCCTAATCGTTTTTGCGAAGACCTCCCAGAAGCTGCTTCTTGTGCCCCCCTTTCGCTTCCGTCTTCGGCGCACCGCCGAGGACAGGATACTCCTCCGCTCGTGCTCGGGAAAGAAGCACAGGCGACACCACCACCACCACCAGAGGGTTCGCCTCCAGCGAGGGGGTCCACGATGCCTCCTCCCGAGCTGGGGACGGGGGCCGTCTCGGGCGAGAGGGGAGGGGGACCACCACCACCAGAAGGACCCTCCCTGGCGCCCAGCGCTGGTGGTGGTGGTCGTGTCGCCTCTGCTTGCTCTTCGCCTGCCTCTCCCGCTCCCTCCCGCCCTTCGCTCCCGCCTCCTCGGGGGGACAAGAATCAGGAGGAAAAGAAACCCACAGACACAATTAATCCTCGATTCCCCAGACAATATGGGAAAATATGGGAAGTGGGAGGGAAGACCAAAACCCAGAAAATATGAGAAAATACGGGGAATCCTGTCAATTGTGTATATTTATTTGTGTGTCCCAGGGCCCCTTCAAAGAAGCAAGCTGGCGCAGGATGGGGGTCTTGTTAGTGTCAACCTCGAGGCTCAGAGTGTTGAGGAGTCCTCTCAGCACCAGGTTAACCCCCACCCCAATTCGTGCCAGCCCCCCCCCCCCCTATCACGTTGGGGGTGGTGGCTTCATTCTTCTCACCTCCTCAATGTGCACACCTCCCTGTTGAGGGGAAGTGCGGCGTTATCGCCGACAAGCAGGTTCGGACGTTGGGCGCCCCCCCTGCACCTCCATGCTGTCCCCGACAGGTAAGGTGTACCTAGAAAGGATCAGAGGAG